CACTATCTTCAATTCAAAGCAGTTTAATATCTTAATTTAATGAATATTTTAATTGATTAATAAGAAAACAGTTACTTTATATAAATATTAATAAGAGTATATTTTAAATTATAAGAGATGAATTAAAAAGTTCACTATAATAAATAAAATTACAGAAATTCAAATTATCTTTATTCACTATTTATAGTGATAAGAACAGATTTTATACTACTTTCACTTCTAAATTTATATTATAATGAATTATAATCTGAATCTTTTTAATTATTATAATACTATTCTATATATATAGATCTAAAATATTCTTTTATATCTTTTTCTCTTATAAAGTTCTTAACTATATAATATAAAAAAGCTTTAAAATCTTTATTAAATCTCTTCAGAATTGAAGAGATATCTGATATAATCTTTAACTTTATATTATATATTAAACAGAGTTCTCTGACAGTTTCAAAACAGTAAAGATTTCATTGAATTTAATATATACAGATAATAATTAATACTTTATATAATCTTAGTAAGTTAATAGATATATAATTATTCTTAAGAAGATATATAATCTTGTTAATAATAAAATCACAGAGTTGAGATAACATATTGATAATAAAGATAAGAAAGACACATATTTGAATGATATTTAATTGAAAAAGATATGTATTGAATGATATTGAATAATTCTAGAGAAATGCAGATATTTTGATTTTTTAATGATGTTTTACTACTAATTTTCAGAGAGGGCTGGGAAAATTCTGTTTTTGCAAATATGTTCACCACAATACCTATTATATCTTGGCAACGCGAGGGAACAGCTAAATACTTATTTTTTTTTTTTTTTTTTTTTTTTTGATATTGAAACATTAAATACATCTCAAGTGCAGCACTCTAGTGAAAAGCAAATAACAGCTCTAGATATATTCGTAATCCATGTAAAAATAACTCATAAGTTGTCATTGCCTATGTAGCCCTGTCAGCTATTATTCCGCCAGATTTCAGTAATGCGCCCAACTTGCTGGCTCCGCGAGGGGAAGATATGCAAATACAATAATGACCACAAAATCTCTGATCGGAATAAAAAATTCTCGCTACGTCCTATGCAACCGTGGATAGATATATATAGCGCCGAAGACAGGGAGCTAAATGTGTAGCATGTCTCATAACGGGGGTATATATCAAATCGTGTTCGAGCTAACCGACGATTGAATTCACAGCAATCCTTTCCTGGCCAATTCGACCTTTCTTGCAGCTTCACCAGGCTTGAACCCACCCTTCGACACACAAATTGCGCTTCCGTCACCTAGTTCGAATTTATCTTCAACACCTGGGTGTTGACAAGGACAATGGTGTGGAACAGAGACGCAGGCTAGAGTTCCGGGGCAGAGATAGTCCGAACATCGTGCTGGGGGGAGTCCGCCGTTAGCATTCAGCATGAAAAAAATATAATGAAAAATAATGAATATATACAATATCAAATGCGACATACCGTTGTCATAGGTTCGTTGGTACCAGGAACTGTCACTGGGGACATTGTGCTCTTGGGACTCCTGTTGCTGTTGTCCGCCACCAAACATTTGCTCGAAGAATTGGAATTGAGCTCGGGCGCCCGTCGCAAGAAATAGCAAACCCAAGAGGGTGCCGGTGATTATGTGGATCATTTTGGCGCTTTTTCCTCCGTAGTTTGTATAGACTGACAGCTGTCTTCAAATTGCTCCTGTTCGTCCTCATATAATCACGTGATATTCGTCACATGACTCGGACCAAATTCGGCGTCAAAGAAAAAGTGAAGACGCCTTGAGAATATCATTACCAGCACCAATTGCAACAGCCCACATCGCCCCAAGATCGAGACTGAGGAGTATATATCTACCTAGTCTCGATCCCCTTTATGCTGCCATGATCCAACCTCAGTTCCGCACCCAATTGCGGGTTCTCGACTCCCTCTTCCTCCCATCCACATCTCTCCTCTGCAACCAACAATCCACACGATCTCTATCACATCTCTCACGGAGAACGGCCCGCAGTCTCAGTGGTACGGCGCTCTCTCCTCCCTCCACCTCTCGCTCCTCTATTCTCCTCCTTCAACAACAGCGACCACCCCAATTTCCATCCCGCACCACCATCCACCAAACCCAGCTTCAGGTCCGCTATGCCTCCCACGCCACCCAAGGCCGTGCCAACAACGGCACGAAAAATGGCGCAGGCAGGCGTCTCGGCGCAAAAAAGTCCGGGGACCAATATGTGATTCCTGGAAACATCATCTTCCGCCAACGCGGCTCCAAATGGTTTCCTGGCGAAAACTGTGGCATGGGCCGCGACCACACCATCTACTCGCTCGCCACGGGCTATGTCAAATACTACACTGATCCAGCGCGCCACCCAGACCGCAAATACATCGGCGTCGCCTTTGATAAATCCGACAAGTTCCCCTTACCCCGGAACGCCATTACCAAGAGACGGCTTGGGATGGTGGCCGTCCCCAGGGATATTGAGCAGGAGAAGGCTAATAAGGCGGCCAAGGAGGCGGAAATTGTGCCTACGCTTAGACCGGGCTATATGTACCGTGTTGCCAACTGGCAGATTGGTCGTGTGGCGGAGCGTGCGGGGGTTAAGGTGCCTGAGTGGAATAAGAAGGATCGTTTTGCCGCGTGGAGGAGGAGGATGGAAAGGAGGAAGATTGCGGCGCAGTTGAAGGATGCTAAGTCGAAGAGGAAGGGGAAGAAGAATAAAGCATAGCTGTAGAGGGGTCATGTTTGAATAAGAAAAACGGATTCGTGACAGCTTTATTCTTCTGTTGGTAGACGGAGTTGCATTTTATTTTTATTTTTTATTGTATATTAGAACGAGAGGACTTTGGCTGGAATATATTTTCTTTCTTGAATATATTTTCTTTCGTTATACTTTTTAATCTTATTCATGAACATGTACTCCGAACATTAACCTTCGTAGCTTCCGAATGCCTGAGCACATGTCGACTCAATGAAAATGCGAAATGGCTATTCTTTCCGATTTTGCAGCTGCGGAAATAGAAATAGAGCACACATGCATACAGCGGCACCGGTCATTAAGGGAAGAAGAGAAAGAAGAAAAAGTAAAAAGTAATCTGCCCAAGCCAACCCGGAAACCTCTCTAGGTGAAAAGAAGCTGAACTGGGGTATTGTGCTATAAGGTATTGTGACACGCTGAAGTGGTGATGCGGGGGTGGGAGAAATGCTGAAAATGGTAAATAAGACCACGTCAAAGGGTAGTGGGCGAACCCATATAAAACTGAGCTAATAAAGGATGGGGAGACAAAAATGGTAGATTGTTAACATAAGAACTGGACATCAAACCAACTGGCTGAACGGGGCCAATGGGGCGTTACAATGTATCCGTACTTTACGCAGCGTCCTTCCTTCGCGGGTGGTAACAGAGAATAAATAGAAAGATCCGAATATACGCAACAAATCCAGTGAGAAACATTTCGTAACAGAAAATCAAGGGATAATAAAACGAGAATTAACTAGCAGCTATACCTTTGCGAATGAGCTATGATTGGTTGCGTAATTCCTTTTTGGTCATCATATTCGTCATCTTCATGACCTGATCATGGTTCAAACAACTTCCCTAAAATTAGACTCTGGCAAATAAATTCATTATCTAAAATCCTCACAGTTCTTCCATTAACAGTCACATCACTACCGCCGATTATGCCGGAGGCCAGATCTGCGGAAGCAGCGGCAATCCGCGGCGCCCCCTTCGCAGGTCGACCACGACCTTGTCGCTTCTTGGGTGGCCGGCCCCGTGAGCGGGCCCTAGAAGTCCCCTTGGTGAGGCCAGCTTGCGACGCCTGGATAAGTTGTGCACGAGCAGCCACAGCCGCTTTCTCATCACCAACATAAATCCAATCCCAGCCGACATCCGAATAGGCGCTTGACCCTGGTGATTCCCGCTCAGGTGGTGCCAGTATCTTAATTGCGGCATCCATGTCCGGTACACGAGCGATTCTGCTGGGACCAAGGGCACAAGTGAGGAAGCTGTAAGGCTTGCGCTGTTCTGCGATTTTGCCGCGATCCATGACGAGGAGCACGGATTGGCCAGCCAGGAGCTTGGGGCGGGCTGCTATAGTGTCCGGCAGGCGTGCTGTTAGAGCTGGGTTTGGGGCGATCGCCCGGGATCGGATTGCACCGTTGAGGAAAGTAGATTCGCCCGCTGGGAGGAGGTAGGGTTCCCAGTCCACGATTTGATCTTTGGAGACGCAATCATGGATCCAGCGACCGGCCAAACAAGGAATGTTGAGGGCGAGGGCTTGCATGTATTTCACGCGGCGGGTATGTTCGTCTGTTAGGAGGCAAACGAAACCGGTAGTTTCAGCTGTAGGGTGCAAAGATAACAATTTGTCGTTGTCGTCTGCTGAAGTTGTCACAGCGGAATTGTTTTCGAAAGATGCAGAAGGAAGGTTGGACAATGGTTGGTTAAAGAGCTCAGTGAATCCATCCTTCAGGATCCGCCCACCGTTCTGAGTAATGAGCTCTTCAATCCACAGCCGTTTCTCCTCGTTATCTTTGTATGAAACAGCGAAAGCCATTCCGAAAAATAAGCCAGAGACTGATGGGAAGCGATGTGCGGTTCGCGAAACGGAATATACAGAACTGTGACGGTGGTCCAAGGGCGTTTGTAGCCCAGACCTAGGGGCGTGGAGAGGCTGGGGCAAGTACGAATACTGCCTATTTCCCAATCGAGTCCACAGAATCCTATCAAGGTAAACATTAGAGATTGGAACAGTGATATCAGATCCATTGCGGAAGGTCCCATTTGGGCCCCTGGGCCTAAGGATGACGGAGTGGTGCCCATGGACATCAGTTATCGTCGAAGAGAGTGTCCGCTCGCCACCACGGAAGGCAGTGGTCTCAAATGACTTTCGAAACCCCACAACCGTGTGCGGAATCTTAGGAACTTGAAGCAAGTCCACCTTGACAACGTCGTTTTTTCTCAATTCCAACCTCTTGACTGCATCCGCATTTACCTCATCAGGTTCGATTGAGTCCTCGAATCTTACGAGGTATCTAATTTGGCCCGCAGTTTGTGAAATCCCAACGCAGGTTGCTGGGAAATATCCCTGCGGTCGGCCGTTGAAAAAGGCAAATACTTTATTTGCAAATGCAGGGCTATTCAATGATGGTGAAACACTTCCTAATGTTGAGTACGTATGAGTCTCCTCGCCTTGAATTGGGTCTGGGCTATCGGCCCGCTCAATCAATTGTGTTGGACTTGGTGACGGGATCTTTGACTTGCGCTCTTCAATTGGCCAAGCAATACTATTTATAAGCTGCTGAGAAGTTCGTGCTTTAGAAATAGCCCGTTCTAACGGTTGACTGAGGCGACGTTTGCGCCCTCTTCTAGTCTTTGGCTGAACCGGTGAACATTCCACCTCCCAGACACTTCCAGTCCTTTTGCCATTCGTTTTCGGATTTTGTTGAATAAGAATAACATTCGTTTGAGCATGTGGTACTGGAATTGGGGTGGCTGACTCCGAAACATTATTCATGGACTCGCTCACGTTTGCTGCCGACTGAAGCACTCTGGGAGTCTCTTTAGGGGTAGGCGTTTGGTCCCGATCAAATGGATTCGATGAGGCGATGACTCTTCTATCATTTCCTCGTCTCCTTTTGTTAGCAGAAGGTGCTACTTCTCGGGTTATGAACGCAAATTCTTTGTCTTCTGCAGTGATAAGTCCAAAGTCTGATAAAAAATCAGGCAGCGAGTGGCAGGGCGACTGTTCCGCTGCAATTTCAGTCATGCTCCGACGCTGACGGCCACTAGGGCTAGAAAGTACAGCCGAGACGGTGTGGTGTGCGCCACCCCTGGGGAGCAACCTGGGAACTCCAAGACGTCCAACTTGAGAGCGTGAAAACTGGGGGACAACAGGAAGCTCGTCGTCATCGTGAGTAGGAGATGTAGGAGACTTGTTGTTAAATCGTGTAATAGATTTAGAGAAATGACCCAATGAAGAAGATTCTGGTATAGTCTGATGATATGGTTTTGACTGCTTCTCATTCTGCGTTGGTGTCTCTAGAACGCGAGAAGGCATGGAGGAGGCTTTCGTCGGACCCGCAATCTCCTCGGCTGAAGGATTAGGATATGTAATTTTAGATTCAGCTTCAGGATATTCATTCTGATCATTCGATGACGCCATATCTGGAGCACCCTGATCTGCAGGCTGACCGCGTTGATGTGTAGTTTTGTGAGGCGTTTCCAGGGGACTTGCATTTTCAGGGTTATGTTGGGTTCGAGAAGCAGTGTTCCATGTAGGGTGGCCCATCCGAGAGGTTTGAGAGGTTTGTTCAGGAAATCTACTCTGTCCATGCGGGTCAAATGTAGGCGAGGACGGGACACATTCTTCTCCGGGTGATTGAGCCAAGTGGATATCTGGTTTTCGAGATCGAGGTCTGCCTCTAGGCCTCTTTGAACCATGATTTAAAACATGTGAATTTGGCGGAAAGCCTCGCTGGCTACGTGAACCGGAAATAGGTGACGAAGGTATATATTCCTCACTAGGAGATTGTGTTAAATGTGTAACTCCCCTCCTCGGTCTGCCTCTGCGCCTTTTTGGACCGTGGTCGCTGAACGGCTGGGAATTAGCGATATTTACGATTTGAGAGCCAGTAGGTGTGGTGTTCTCGCTTTCATCTAGGCTGCCTTGGGGATGACTCGCAACTTCCTGGCTGCCGTAAGATGGCCCTGAAACTTTCCTGGTTAAGTTTCGATGGCCTGCTGGAGAGTCTGATTCAAGGGCCTGAGAGAGGGCGTCGTGAGCAGAGGCGGTAGTGTCAGCAACATGAACTGGCCCGCTGTCGATATTCTCTTTATCATCTTCTCCTGGAAGCTGGGAATGTAGAAGCCGTCGGCTATGTGAGACTTCAAGTTCATCCTCCTGCTCGGTTTCCTCTTCACTATTTCCAGCATTATTTTTTTCAACCGTCGAAAGAGCGGCGCGGTGGGGATGACTGCTCCGAGAGTCTGCTGGAGCTGGTGAGGATTGATCTGCTGTAACCGTCTTTCCATGACCTTTCGAGCTAGATCTAGTGGGTGCGGTTACAGTGGCAAATTGCCTTCTCACCTCCTCCTCCGTATATTTTTCTCGTACATGTCTCCGAACGTAGCTGTCATCCTTCTCAAAATCGTCATCACTGGAACCGTTTTCCCCCGTCGAACGTAACCGCGCCAGCATCTCCCGTACAGCCTGCGACTCCTTCATCGAAACATAATTTGCCTGAGGTTCTAGACACTTGGAAGGAGGAACTGAGGAAGGAAGTAGAGGCGAGAACACTGTGGTCGTGCCGGTCAACCGGGGCTCAATAGGGAGATTTGGCGATGGCATATCCGACGAAAGTGGAGGTCCATTAGTAAAAGGCGAGGAGGGATTCTGGGTCGCATTGAACACCTGTGACAAAGCCATTACGGTGCTACCGTTGTGTTCGCTGCTGAAGGGGTACCGTGAGAGTATTGGCGTAGTTGAGATCTCAGGATACGAGCTTCGACGATTCTGTGTCGCCGGAGTTCTACTGATGAAGCGTTGAGATTCGGGGAAATGCTGGTATTGGGTTGGGGATGAGACCCCACCCACTATATCAAGGTGCTCCGGCCCTCCATCCTCGTCGACGAACTCACGATCTGCACCAGGAGTTTCCCCAAACGCAGCTAGTAAATCTAGATGGCCTGTATCACCCTCATGTAGAGTCGCGTCCCTTGCCGTCGAATTATCATCTTCTTCTTCTCCCTCCTGGTGTTTTGAATGTCCCCTGTTTGATCTTGCCTTGCTCATAAAACTCTCGAAGACCGATTGAGAAATTGGCTGCGTATCGCCGGGTAGACTGCCGCTTACCGTCGCCATCTTGGTTGGTGACTCCGGAACAGAACTCTGCTCAACATCGGGCTGCGATGGCTGCCTTGTAGCGATATTCAAGGATGAAAAGGCATGACCCTGCGTAGGAAGAACACGGTGGAAGCCTGTTGTATGGTACGATCAATTAGAATGGATGTTTTGAACGTCCACCACAGTCTCCAGAGAGATCCGAATCTCGTGGTCCTGGGGCTCGCACTGCCACCTCTCCGCAATCGTTCCAATGTTATTCTCACCTCGTAATTGTAAAGTTCTAGACACGTCCAGCGTGGACTGTTCCTGTCAAACGATCAGCATCAATTAGCGCGATTGTAACACCTAGACCAGGCAGGATATTCGTCGGGCCACAAAAAGGAAAAAGAGGGTATATATAAAATACAGCCACGAACATCAGTTAAGCCAAGGGCTGCCTGCTTCAGATAGCCCAAATCGAGGCTATCATCTTGACTCCCCATAGTTAAGGCACTCAAAAGGGGGCAGAGAAGAGTCCGCAGACCAGCGCTGCCACCCGGGTCAAGGCGGCTCAACAACCCGCGTGGTCGTAATTAAATTGTAACTTATTACTGATCCTGGATACCCAAAATGGTAACTAGTTCGCGACATCGAACGCGACTGTGGATGCACGCGGTCACGTGCGTGTATTTCAATGATGCCTAATTGTGGCTATCAGCGACACCCACAAATTCTTCAAGTTGGATTGCGCGTCTTGTCTCAATGGCATCTACTTTGCCAAAATAGACTTCAACGCGTATATCTCGCCTCCGGTCGACGATATAGTTGAGCTACAACGGCCGTGGAAGGATACTTTTAAAAAATAGCCCGACCTTCTCCATATTGCAAAGATTGCTAACATGTCAGGTTCATTCACTCGTTATATTTTAGTTGTTTTATACAGGTATATATCCATACGCGTTAGCTTGGACCGACATCATGCAAAGCTTTCAAATTAGCATGCTAACATTGCAGCAAAGTTTCAAAACGCCTAGGTCAAAATTAACCCATATCCTTCACATGCATATCAATGAGAAATGAGAAACCATAAAGTCGTCTTCAATCGCGACTTCGATTTGGCACCCATCGTTTAATGGTCATTTCACGGACCTTGTACGTTCTCAGCAGCGTACCAATATCCAATTCACCACCCTCCCCAGTGGCATCGGTAGGTGGAGGCTGGGTGTGAGGAGGTGGCACTTCTACATAACATAGGACCAAACTCTTCTTGACCTGGGCTTGGACTCTGTTCACACAGTGCAGCCACCACCAAGTTCGGCCCTCTTTCTTCGCAGTCTTTTGTCGTCTTTCTTCAGTCGCTGTCCAGTAAGGATCGGAGTAGGCGGGGAGCAAACAAACTGCGAACTCGGCATGGGAGAATACCGGCCCGCGGTTGTAGAGGAGGTAATCGACACCGAATTTTACACCGGAGCGGATAACCCAGCCAAGGGAGCGGAAATGATGGTATACGACATAAGATAACATAAATGGATCATCTGGTTGGGCAGGAGCAGATGACTCTCGTGGCGGGAAGTAGGAATGTTGGCGGAAGACAGTTAGAAGGGAAGATGCAGAGAGGATCGATGTGCGGTCACTGTTATACACTTGTAGAACACCTAGACCATAGACGAGAAAGAGAGCTTCTTCGTTCGATAATTGCAGATGTTCTTCATTTTTGAGTACTACTGTGTGCTCATTTTTGTCTGTAGACGGGATTGAAGGTTCAGGTAACCATGGTATAGTAGCTTGAGCATCATAGCACTTTTGTTCGACCACCGGTGAGAAGCGTACAGTCTTACCGCCATTCGAACGTACACTTCCAACATGCCCATTGGTCATATCTTGCTTGGAGATGGAGGAATTATTTGCTGTAACTGTGGACTCTTGGCCGTGAGTGTCTCGGGGCTTGTCGTCCAGTTGAGCAACAGCTGCGTCATGAACGGGGCTTTCTAGGGCAGTAAACGTTTTATCAAGTTCACTAGATTGAAAGTCACCACGAGCATCCCGCAATTGTGCTTCCGCTTTCAGCTGTTCCGCAATAGCCTCTTTTTCCTTCCTGGCTCGCTCAAGTTTGCGTTCCCGGCGTTCTAATCTTCTCTTCCCTGTAACCTCCTCACTTGTAGCATCGCCGGTCAATCCTCTTCTATTTTTCTCTCGGTCTAACCAACTTGGCTCACTCCTACTCAGGCTACCTTTCCCGAAGAATCCCATCTCCCACAGCGTACGTATCGCTCTCGCGTCAGTGACATGGATTGAAGACGTTGATGGATCAAAGTACGCGGTGTAGATGTGCTGGTGAGGAGGAGAGATCAAGTATGTGAGATACGATAGAGCTATGCTAATTAGAGAGAGGGGATTGTGGGGGATTAAAGGTGGTAACGGGTAGACATGGAGAGGAAGAGGGAAACGATGGATATGTTTATAATTGGGCCGCCGTGGCCGAGCAGGGGGGTATTTAGCTGCATCTTTTTGGGGATCCAAGTTGCTATTATTACTAGAGTTTAGACGGCCATTTGAAACAGTCGAAACGGCCGAAGTGGTAGACGAAGCCATTATCAACAGAGCATAGCTCAGAAAGTGACCACTCGCGAATGGGGTAACTAGAAATAACAAGTTAGAATTAAACCAAAGTCTCCAGCATACGTTGAATAGAAACAATTGAATAATGAAAATTAAAGAGAATAGGTAGGGTTCCTCAGATACCGTTGTAGTCATAAAAGAGCCAGCATTGACAGCAGCTAGAAATCAGTGCCACTGACTAGGCTACTATGAGTGTCATCACAGGAAACAGAAGGGGAATTACAGGATAATCCAGACAACAAGTCACGTCCAAGTTCAATTACATCAGTAAGGAGAATGTATTACTTACCAGGTCTCCTGTCAATGGATCACCGCCAGAAATGAGAGCTCAGTCAGTATCTGACAAAAGAGCCGCAGCCTTTCTCTTAAACAAATAGTATTCTATTGCTTAATAATCTTCTTGGTGTTAGTAGCTTTGGTGAAAACCTTTAATATGCCAATTCCCGAGCATAGGTATAGAGACGGAAGAACAAGTTGTGTTGAGCAGAATATTTCCTGAATGATGGAGGTGAGGTGAGGTTGAAATTTTCCTGAGTGGGCGGCAGAATTATTGCCGAAGCTCGATTGTTTAGCGCTGGTCGGCAAAACCTTCCCATTTCAGTCCGCGCAACTGCAGCACCAAAATTCATTTTTACGCTCTGGCAAAACCACTCCACCAAACAGCCTGCCTGCTATTCATCTTCATTCCTGGCCAGCTCGGCACATATAAGATCGCTTGGAACTCCATTTACTATTCTTAGGAGTCGACGTAGACACGCCAGCCAAGTAAGAGATACCGTCACTGCAACCCCCAGTACTTGGACAGGCGATTAACCAGTCTCCACAGAATGCATCTCATGTACACCCTCGACAACGAAGGCAATCGTGTCTACACACTGAAAAAAGTGTTGGATGGCCAGGTCACAAAATCCGCACATCCCGCTAGATTCTCACCAGATGACAAGTACTCCAGGTTAGTTTTGAGATGAGAAAAATATGCTTGTGAGGAACCGAAACTGACATCTTTCAGACACCGAGTTACATTGAAGAAACGATATGGACTACTCTTGACGCAACAACCTGGTACGTGGATGAAAAGACACCAGCTACTCATCTGTTTTCTATTTGATTGCTGGAATGAAAGCTAATCTCTTCTACTTTCGCGCCCTAGAATCCAAGATGTGAGCGTTCTTTAGCGATAATTTATATCAATCAGGGCGAATGGCGTTATCCTTTTGTGGCGACGGAAGGGGTTGGTTAAAAAAGAGACATATATTGTAATTGGTCTGATCTGCTGTTGCTTATCTACGGGTTCTTCTTTTGGTGGGCTCCGTACAAGTCCACACTTCCGATGTACTCGAGGAAGTCGATTTGAGATTGGACTATTATTCGACTTCAGCTAGCACTGGCATACTCCATATTGTACTGTACGTTCCATATATAAGCTGTTTCCCGTGCCTGAAATGTCAATATGAGATTGAAATATTTTGCGATCGCTCTATCTTTGCTTCCTTCCCAGCATTAGTAACAAAAATGAAATCGTTAAATGATGAAATCGTTAAATGATGAAATCGTTAAATGATGAAATCGTTAAATGATGAAATCGTTAAATGATGAAATCGTTAAATGATGAAATCATTAAGGATAAAACCATACAACACTGCACTCTATCCCACCATTTTTTCAAAACCGTAAATGCAATCAAACAAATAACCCCAAAATGTCTTCACCTCCTCTTCCTTGAATTAACCGCCCTACCCGCCCCCACCATAACCCTTCCACCACCCTTCAACCTCTCCCCAGTCACAATCCCAGGTAGAAAATCATCATCCATAAGATCCCTCTCCTTTTTCGTCCTTCGTCCCTCCTCTGCTACCGCCCTCACATACTCCTTCTGATCCTCCGTCAAGATCAAGTTAGTCCCCCAGCCTCCCAGCCCTCCACCTCCCTTCCACTTCCCACTTGACGTCCCCGCTATCGGTTTCGGAATACTATACCTATCTCCCCGCGTATTCCATTGCATATTCTTCTTAAGGTGGAGCTTGAACGCGCCCCCGGAGGTTGTGGAGCAGGAAACGCGGGTTAGCGTCGGTTTTCCGCAGCGGGGGCAGAACTGCTTGTCCATTTCCTTGGTTGTGGCGAAGCAACCGTGGCAGCGGAGGATATAGGAATTTAGCCGGCGGATGCGCTGCATGTTGTTGGGCGAGAGGAGGTTGAGATTCATACGCAACAGGACGTTTTGCATGGCGAAGTCGCCGGTTATGGTTGCGACTTGCATTGTTTTTGTTTCGACGGAGGCTGCCGCTGCCGCTGCCGCGTCTTTTACCTGGCGTTTTTTGATGTTGGAGGGGGTGATCCAGCCTTCTTCATCGTCGTCGTCGTCGTCATCGGATTCGTCTATTTGAGTTGGTGTTGGGTATTGGGCAGAATCTTCTTCTGGTTGTGTTTCTGCAAGACCGTCCGTGGCACTTGCACAGTTTTCCTGGGGGTCTTGTTTCTCAGCTAGGATCGACTCAGCCAAGTCGTTCGTAACATTCTCGATGGAATCTTCCACTTTAGGCTGTTGTTCGACAGCGGGCTCATCACCACCGGCGTCATCGTCTGCTTCCCCTTCCTTCTTCTTCTCCCCCTCCTCAACCTTCGCAGGGGGCATCCCATTAATCCCCTTCTGTCCGGGCTCCCTTCTCAACCGCCAGTCGCCTCCATTCCTCTCACACTCAACCTCATATGCCAACGCCAAAACCTCCAAATCTTGCCTACTCAGCACTGCCCTATCGCCAGTCTTCCGTGAAAACTCTGCAACGAACTTTATAGACTCCGGTTTGGGAGTGCGCTGTGTGAGGAAAGGTAGATATAAGGTCTCAATTCTAGAGCGCGCAGCGGGGTCTCTGATTTCGGAAATGACAGCGGGGGTGGTGATGAGGGCGTGGGACTGTGCAAGCAGCGTCGAGATCGGGGGTACATTGCGGATGAGGGGTGCTGCGTCGAGGACAATGGTGTGGATCGGCTTGGTGGCGGAGGTAGTGTCCGCCATGATTGTAGGTATTTGAACTTTTTCACACACTTTCTAGTTCCATAGGGTTCTTCTGTAGGGTAAATATGGCATGCGCGGCGGGTATATTGAGCGGGGACGCTATTGTGCAGTTCGTCTCGGTCCCCGTGGTTGATGATAATTTTTCTACTGTTAGTGGCTGTGGCTCGTTGGTCTGTGTGCTTTTAAGGTTATCTTATCTTAGCGCCATCTGGGCCAAGCTCCCGAGGTCGACACTCCGATGCCAGTAGAACTAATTGTGCCTTTGTGCATCCACACCTAATGTGGGTGCGCCACACTATAATAATAATGATCAGTGTAACAATAAAAATGAAAATAGTATCTTTTATATGAGAATCTCTCTATATATTAAAGAAAAACTGACTTTTCCGTGCAAAAAACACTGTAACGTGACCTCACGTGCACCCCATCAAAAATGTTGAGGGTCCCAGGGATTGATAGGCCCTTCTACCAGCAGCGCTGGTGATGACTGAGCTCTTTTGCCCCAGTAGTCTACAAAAAATCCATGGATATGTAGTGGCGCCTGCCAATTGCTCCTACCACCCTATCTACCCCCCTATCACTTACCACCCACCCGTACCACCCGTACCACCCCTTCCACTCCTACCCCCTTTACCACCCCTACCACCTCTACCCTCTACCACCACTACTGCCTCTACCGCCCCGCAGCCCCCCCTATCACTTCCACTTCATACCTCTACCCCCATCTTACCACTCACTCTCTTACCACCTCTACCACCCCTACCACCCTTTCAACTCCGACCCCCCCTTTACCACTCCTACCACCTCTTCCACCTCTAACCTCTCTATCACCATCACTGCCTCTACCGCCCCACAGCACCCTCTATCACTTCCACTCTCTATCTCTACCCTCATCTTACCATTCTACCCCTCTCTTACCATCTCTATCATCTCTCCCACTCCTACCACCTCTATCACCACCACTGCCTCTATCACCTTTCTCTATCACCTTTTCCATCCTCTAGCCTCTCTATCACCACCACTATCTCTACTTCTCTCTTACTATCTCTACCACATTTTGATCTCTGTGTTTATAGTATATAGTTACTGCTAAGTACTCTGTAATAAAGTCTCATGTTGATGTCATGTGCATCTCTTTGAATTCATGAATGAGATTGAATAGCTGACTGCAGTCTGTACAGCTCTGATTAATCTGATAATGATGATAGAGATGATACAGAGTGAAAGAGAGTAGTAGAAGGAGTAGAGATGATGGTGGTGGTAGAGAGGATAGAGAGTGAAAGAGGTGGAAGAGGTGATAAGAGTGAGTAGAGATAGAGAGTGAAAGTGATAGAGAGGATTGCCAGGTGGTAGAGACAGTGATGATGATAGAGAGGGTAGGGATGAAAGAGGTGATAAGGGGGTAGAGATAGAGGATGAAAGTGATAGAGGGGGATTGCAGAGCAGTAGAGGCGGTGATGATGGCAGAGGAGGTAGGAAGTGAAAGAGATGATAGGGGATAGAAGTGGTAGAGGGGGGTTGCGGGGCGGTAGAGCCGGTGGTGGTGGCAGAGGGGTTAGGGGGTGGAAGGGGTGGTAGGGGTGGAAGGAGTGATAGAGGCGGTGGTGGTGGTAGAGGAGGTAGGGGGTGGAAGAGGTGGTAAGGGGGTAGGATAGAGGGTGAAAGTGGTAGAGGGGGATTGCGGGGCGGTAGAGGCGGTGGTGGTGGTAGAGGAGGTAGGGGGTGGAAGGGGTGGAAGGGGTGGTAAGAGAGGGATAGAGGTAGAGAGTGGAAGTGGTAGAGGGGGCTGCGCAAGCAGCGAAGCGAGCGTAAGCGAGCATTTGATGCTTGTCACATATAAAAGATACAAACATCATTTTCTTTAATATCTTCATCAACATCTTAGATATGAACTTGAAAAATAAGATGAAGATAAAATCAATAGCAAGAAATCTCATGATATCAGCACATTTAAAATTAAATAATTTTTCATTATTTCATTATGAAAATTCAAATTTTGTACTAAAATTTTAGTATGGTTTTCAGATTTGAGAAAATGTATGAAAAAAATATTATATTCTTATATTATTTGAGTATTTCTAATCTTCATATTTCATTCATGCTCATATCTAAGATGTTCATGAAGATATTACAGAAAATGATATTTGTATCTTTTATATGTGATTCTTATATAAAAGATACCTACTTTCATTTTTATTGTTACACTGTTTTTATTATTATAGTATGGTGCACTTACATCAGGTGTGAGTGTGCAAAGGCATGATTTTACGGTAGAAAATCGGGAGTTAAATTAAGATGAGATGTGTTATTAATTTAAATGTAACTACATCACAAAATATGTAATTTCGAACATTTCAGCTCTTTAAGGTTCATTCCGGAATTGACTGATTCTAGTGAAATCACTTGGTTATCTGTCAAAAAATCCCCAAAAGCATTACTCCACCAGTATAACTCTTCCGCAAAAAAAAAAAAAGGAAATATTAATTATGAGCCAATAAGCTCAATTGCAAAATCTCCGAAATGAACAAAAGATATCTAAAAACATCTAACCACAATGGTCTATCCTGGGCTTTAAAAGTCTTGAAACTCCCGATCCACTTCCTCAAAATGATCGAAGAATCCCTTAAACAGCTTGACCCCCAGCCCAGGGTCCAAGTTCCCTGTCGTTGCACGGATGCTGTGCATACTCAGCTGAGGAATACCAGCATCAATCGCTCTTATTCCAATCCGGGCGCTCGTCATAGGCCCAATCGTTCCTCCGCTGCGGCTGTCATTGCGAATCTGAAACACTTGCAAAGTAGAACCACACTTATCAGCAACCCGTTGTAAAATAGCCGTGCTGACGCCATCGGTGGCCATGTGTCCGTTGGGATCGGCAGATATGGCGACACCGACGTTCAATCTTGGAGCGTGGTTTTCCAAGTAGACATTTAGGAAGTTGGGGTTCACAGCGTGGATAACGTCAGAGGAAAGAAGAAAGCTATTTGCAACTGTCTGTGAGAGCACATTGGGGCCGTATGAGGGTGCGAACGCTTCTGTGATCCGCTCCATGACGCTACTCATGTAGTTTGACCGAGCACCCTGGCGCAGCAGACTACCTATTTCCTCTGCGTCAAACATGCCCACCATCTTGACGATTCCAGAGGATGCACTGGCTGGGGAAGCTAAAAGTGCCTCCTGGGCACTATAGCAACACAGTTTGTCATCAATGCGGCCAGCGAATATGAACTCTTTATCTAGCCCGCCAACCTGGGCGGCTTGGGTATCGAATAACTCAAGCTCCCAGTTGACGATGGTGCTTAAATCAGAAACGCCCAACTGCTTAGCAATAGCTTTGATCAGTTTCGGCGGCTGAGTTGCCGCAAAAGTGCCTTGTTTAATCCCGTCATCTACATGGGCACCACCCTGCTGGTTCCCAAATAGATCAGAATTATCCACCCCAATAATTGGCACCGCCTGCGTCTCCTTATTAAAGGGGCCCTGGGATGGTGTCCCAAAGTGCACGGCAAGCGTCGGGATTCTCGCAATGGGCCAGTCCAACTTCACCAGCCTCGACTCCACTACACCATTCTGTGCATCGCGAACAAGAACGCGCCCGCCAATCCCCAAATCACGATCCCACCATGTCGAGCTCAACGAGCCTGCATACGGCGCAACGCCCAACTGCACAAAGCCCGCCTTGTTCCCCAGTTTGGAAACAGGTTTCAGTTTCGCGCACAAGGCATCAACGTGCCCCGCAACGATTCCAAAGCCATTGCCGCTCTCATAGTCGGAACCGATGGTAAAGGCTATCAAGGAGCTGCCGTTACGAGAGCAGTAGTATTTCCCGCCGCGTTTGAGGATGGAGGACCAGACGTCGCGTTCTGACAAGCGGGTGAAACCGTGGTCGTCGAGCTGGGAGCAGAAGCTGGCAACGGCATGGTATATGGTTGGATTGGCCGTCATGAAGTCGCAGAAGGGTTGGGCATAGGATTCTGGGGAGGCCGGTGAAGGTTTTGAACCAGCATGCTTATCTGTCGGTTCTTGGGGTTGGGTAGGTCGATGTGGGAGCTGGGTGGTGGTGGCCTGCGAAAGTGCGCTGGAATTAGACGCACGCAGGAAACGGCGGGTCATGCTGGGCGTTGAGCAAAGGATTGAATGACTATGCCAGGTTATTCAAGAAGTGTCCAAGTAAAACAGGGGCAAAGGCGTTAGTTAGGTTCAGAGAAAGTGAGGAAGAATCAATGGGGAGGACGAAGTTAATTGGGAGAACCCCGGGAGGGTTTGGGTTTGCAGTTTCGCTAAGGACCCCAGCCACTAGCCAGCGGCTAACCTTAAAAATGAGCTACCACACTATTACCACACTAGTGGTTGGGGGCGTACTGTACTATTGCGACGGAGGGCTAACACCTGACATTCCAGGTAAGAGATCTAAATAAATTTCCGCTTCAAATATCCGCACCAGAGAATAGGTCTGGCCTGTACATGTAACTACTGTACAATTGAAAGTATCAATACATCAACCACATTCAGACTAACCATTCAAGCTCGACCCAACATAGGCATTCCAGTTCACTCTCCCATGAGCACCCGCATCCGTTATCTCAGGACCTGTTGTAGAGAGCACCTTGTTTTCATTCCTCCAGATGGTTATTAACACGGCGCCCGTGTGGCCATTGAATGGGGCGTTGAAGTGGTTGATTCCCGCTCTTTTCGCTTGGTACGTTGTTGGAGATGATTGCCCAACTTCTATAGTAATCACGCTAGGTTCGGCAGCAAATACCGTCGTGAATACCTTATCCTCAGACACTAGTCCTGGGTCAAGAGCTTTCTGGCCAAAGCTGGGATTATTACCTGTTGTGCCACCGCTGCTTCCGGAACTGCTGGGGTTTAATCTATACCAATAGGTGATGATATCCATTGGTGTGGGTTTAGGGTCATTGGGGGTTTGAGCAGGCTCTTCTCTAGAGTTACCTGCGCTATTCGATTTATATAAATTGATGTATACAGGCAGGAGGGTTCGCCAGTCATCATGTGGGTTCTGGACAACGTATTCAGCGCACCCGTGGGAATACCGGCCTTGTAGATGGGGCCAATATAATGTGATTCGCCGTAGTCATTCCAGCTGATAACCTGTATATATGAAAAGTTAAATGGACGAAAAGCCAACGCCAATTTCTGGTGAAATAACGTACCTGAACCATAGCAGGCTGCAGCTGGATTACTTGCTGCCAACGGTCGTGCCACAAGTCATCCCCACGCCACAGCCAGTTCTTGCCCCATTGGGGCAGGTTTGTGTAAAACCACGGTGAAACAGGCATCATATACGGCTTATTACCAAGAAGAGACATATATTCCTCGTCTGTGTGGGTGGACTTGGATTGTGCACCTACTGGCCATGCATCCCAGCTGAAGACGCCGTCAATGACTTCCATCACACTTTCGTGCCCATGAAGCCCGAGGCTAGTCCACGATGGCATGAAAAAGCACCCAGTAGCCGGTTTGATTAAATCCCAGTCGTGGACGTTGTTTACCCCTTCAAATGTTGATACTAAAGGCATATCTTTGTACTTGAATTGTGCAGGTTCTTTCTTATACTTGTTGATAGTCTGTACGACTCTATCAACCGGCCATGGGCCACCGGAGAGATAGTCGAACGATAAAAACAAGGTGAAATCGCCAACGGCTGCCGCTGCACTGTAGGCTTTTTTAAGAACCTCGTCCGTATAGGGATCCTGAACTCCGATATTCAGAGCGAATCCGTCGATGAGGGCCGCTTTTGCTAAGTTGATATCCGACACCCATTCGTCGTGGGTCATGCCGGCGGCATTTCCAACCTAGCTGATATGAGTAAGATGGGCTTCTATAGCTGGACTGAGATGGTAAAAAGCGTAAAACTTACTATGAAATGAGCGAACACCTCTTTCGGCTCCTGTGCTGCAACGAAGGCGGCGGCAGTTGTCAGCAGAAAAATACTTTTTAGTTGCATTTTGACCACTTTTGTACAGTTCTTTGACTAGCTCTGTACAACACCACGCCGACTAGAGGGAGAGATATCTTCTCCAAAAGAAGTATACAAAATAACAGCTAAATGAGTGTAGTTTCTCTGGTTTGCACTTCCACGAGCAATAGCAGAGCCAAGTGAAAGTCGTTGATTTAAATAAATAAATAGGCAGGTTAACACAACTCAATCAGACAATGACGGTGTTCGGAGAAAAAATAAAAAAAAAATATTTAATAAAAAAAAAAAAAAAAAAAAAAAAAAAAAAAAAAAGGGGAGATAGGAGATAGGAGAAGGAAAAGAGGCCTGTCTCTCAGAAACCAAGACCCAAAGGGAAGAAAGAGGATAATAGACAACAAAATAACAAAATGTCAAAATGCAACTGTGGAAAAGGAATGAATGGGCAAGTTGAGCTGAACTTTTTGCAGGCCGGATGCAAGAAGAGAACGTAGGAATGTAGTCCTAAGTAACATGCACATCTCGGCATACTCATGGCAAACCAGCAGTTACAAAGCAGTGAATGAATGCCCTTCCCATGGGTACTCGCAGCCCCACCCATTACAGGAGATAATGGGGGGTCGCGAGTAAAGGGTATCAGGGTTTATAGGATGTGGCCGGCACTTCTCACAAGAAATATGAAACAAAACTGATGAAAGAAACTGACAAAAATGAAACAGCATGAACCAGAGAAGATGATAAAGAATATCCCACTTTCTCCCAGCCCTATGACAGCAGATAAAATCATGGAAATTCGCGCTTGCCGCCGCCGGCCTCATAAAACTAACCATGGTTTGATGCTTCCCCCCACGTTGAAAATTTTTCTTCCACCTTGAGCCATGGTCGATGAGCTTCTGTTGCAGAGCATCCATGTCAAGAAATCGATTAATCAGTCGGCTGAGAGCTTCACAGCACCAGTGAAACGAAGCCGGCAGGGGGGTGTTTGAAGGAAAGATGTGCTGAGAAAAGTGTCAGCAAAGCTAAAACCTTGCTTGATTAAATGATGGAAGGATTCTTCGCTTTTGGATGTTTTTCAGTGTAAAGGCTTAATTCCACATACTCTCATTATATAGACACTCCCCAATTACACTAATTCTAATATAGTTAGTATATTACTATATATGGTTTAGTCAGTCTTGGCTTTCAGACTATGAGCTTCCAACCACCCCCACTGATCTCTCTCATCATATTATCCTCTCAGGTATGTAGAGGGGCCCTCTCCAGGTATAGAGACCCTGAGTATAGAGTTCCCCCAGGTATAGAGCCCCGGGTATAAAGAATCCCTGAGTATAGAGATCCCCCGGGTTTAGAGAACCCCTGAGTATAGAGTTTGGATAGAGTTCTCCCGGGTATAGAGTACCACTGGGTATAGAGATCCCCCCGATATAGAGACGGGTATAGAGATCCCCCGGGTATGGAGATCCCCTAGGTACAGAGTTCCTCTGGATAGAGTACTCCCGGGTATAGGAGCACCACTGGGTATAGAAGCCCCCCAGGTATAGAGACCCCCTGGGTACAGAGTTCCTCTGGATAGAGTACTCCCGGGTATAAGAGCACCACTGGGTATAGAGCCCCCCAGGTATAGAGATCCCCCGAGTATAGAGCCCCCGGGTATATAGAGAATCCCTGAGTATAGAGTTCCCCTGGATAGAGTACTCCCGGGCATAGAGTCCCCCGGGTATAGAACCCCCTCAGTTATAGAGATCCCCGGATAGAGACCGGGTATAGAGCTGTCCCCTGGCGTGGATCACTATTTCATACGATCTCCAATGACGAGATCTTGATTGCTAATACAATCAATCTCATTGATGTGTGCTCATTGTAACACTAGTATAAAATACCCATTTGACCCAAATGTCACTAAAAAGTTGAAGGGGTGCTGAAACTCGGGCTCACAACAAGAATCGAGCAGCAAGGGCAGTTAGTTTGATAGCCATGGGCCTGACAATAAAAATTAAAGGAAAGCAGAACACCTAACTCACCTAAACAAATCGTTTGATATGTGGATATATTCCATAGCACCTCGATGTATCGTTTAGTTACCATCTCTCAAAACAAGACGATTGATTCTAAAGCTGAGATGAGTTCAATCCATTCAGCTTACTTGATTGAAGATTGCTAGCTAAGTGAGAAGTTGTTGGGGGTCCCGCGGTTGATCGGCCCTTCTACCAGCAGGCGCTGGTGGTGATTGAGCTCTTTTGCCCCAGTAGCCTACAGGTTATGAGACCATTAAGCGTGAGCCCCGCTGTGGTCAACATGCATGGGTTCAATCTCAGAATGGACTTAAAAATTCTCAACAAATACCCTGGACATTTAACAGTGCCAAGAGACATCCCAGGAGTGTGCCCTAGAAGTCCCTTGAGCCCTAGGACTGAGTGAGTCCACTAAGAGGAGCCACTGTGGGGAGCCACTGAAGGGAGCCACTGAGAGGAGTACTGTACTCTGTGGTAGCTGGTCCGAGGGGGGGTGTTGGGGGTCCCGCGGTTGAGCTCTTGTGCCCCAGTAGCCTACAGAAGTTAAGGTGGAAGGAGGATTACTAAGCACGGGCCATATGGTCCGACACTTCTAGTACCCTATTAGTTACAGGGTAAAAAATACCTGGTAGTTAACTAACTTAAAGTTACTGGGGGGAAAGCCGATGAGTTAACTTATTTATTATGGAGATTCCCACCAATCATTCACAAGCAAATCGGGCCGCTAGAATGAAATTCACCACAGAACCATCTGCAACTTGAATTCCTATTTGCCCGAATTACACCCTGTTTCCGTCATCCCTTCGAATTGCAGCCAACCAAGCTATTCATTTCAATAATATTAATAGTCATAGTTTTATCTAACAGCGTGCGTAGATAGTAAGTTAAACCACAAACAGAGAAATCCAAATGGTTCCTTCCGCTGGGTCAGATTAAATTGCTACCAAATTTTTTTCTACGGGTTGCCAACATATAGTTATATATATCCCTTTCACAGATCTTATCCAGTCTATTCAACCCTCTATCAGTTAAATAAATAATTAATTAACAAAAAAACTTTCGAAAAAGACTGAAATTATCCAGTAGGTTTCTCAAAACTCGAATTGCAACCCTCCCATAACCATATTAACTCAATTCAAGGCCCATCATCTCATCCCCCTTCATGCATTCCACCCATGTTTCAAAACAATTGCAGATATCGCCAATTAGCATTTATGTTTATTGTACCAATTGCATTTTCCGAGCCTCTCTGGGTGATAGATTAGGCCAATCAGCAAATCCCTGTCCTGTTCGACAACCTTATTAATGTTTCCACTTACTCCCGGAGCAACCGCGGTCCGTAATAATAGTCCGGATGTAACGCTTATAGTTGACCGCCGAGTCCCTAGACCTAACGGTAGAATTGAGAGTATCTTATTAGGTTAGCAGACCGTTCTGAGTCCTACTCTCTCTCAGAGCTATGGTTAGATTTAGGGGAAACATAAGGAGAAAAATTGCATATGTGTTGCCCCCGGCGTTCTCGCAGTCCACAAAGCGGGGGAACTTGACGTTCATCCTCGTGCCTTTGTAGCAAATGTGATCTCGAGGGAAGGGAGCAAACTTGGTGACAACAAGAGTTCAAGCCAGCGTGTAGTTCATGCGACAACATCATTTTTGCTTCAACTTCTTTCCATCCATTTACATTACATTGATTGCTCCGGGGACAGTATTCCAGCACTGCATTGAGGTAGTATCTCCGGCTATGGTTATGGTTATCTGCCCTTCAAGTATGGCTGAGCTGCCTGCCAGACCAAGGTTGCTTCGAATAAAAGTAGGGGGATGGTCGCGGTTCACGGTCGGAAAAAAAAACTAGCTGATGGCCAGGGCTTGTAACCAGTAATCCCATGAACTCATCACATAAGTTACTAACTACACTTCGGTAGATATTAGACCAAGGATACAGGCTAATAATCATGGTTGGTTGAAAGGTATGCCGGGAATACAGGAAGCTGACGGAGCTTTTGACCGACGGGTAGAAAAAGGGACTTCACACCACTATGTAGCTCAGCCCTGTTAATGCCACAAAGGGCTTCGTTTGGAGAGCCCAGCACGCATTTCCTAGACAAAAGGATTGCCAACCGCGGAGGAAGGTCTGAGAGAAATCCTGGAATGCGATTAGTTAGTATCATCATTTCGCAGCTGCAAATGTTAATTGAGAGCTAGTTGCTACGGAATTCCAATTCCACCTCGCTATGTTATGTATTCGGGGAAGGTAATATTACTTCTAAGTCTAAAAGCAATGCACATACCGTAAACCGTGGAATATTTTCTCTTTCACTTACAAGACCGCAGCAACGGGGAGCCAAGCTCAGTGAAGGCGTCCTATCTTTTGAAGGTATGCATAAAGAGATAAGGAGGATGGTCAGTAACGAGAACAGAATGGAAACTAAATTTTGCAATAGTGTTAGCAATGGAAAAAAAGAAATTAGAGGTAGTAACTTAAGCCACAGCAAGAAACGACAAAACAGCATACCAAAAATAAATAAATGAATAAAGGGGGTAGTAAAAATATTATATTAGTATATGTGCAATTTATATAACCTGTAGTCTAAATAGTCTATCAATGTAGGAATCGGTATCCAGAATAAGAAGCAGAAAGAAAACAGCAACTTGACAAAAAGATACTCAGGAGAGAAAACTGTATGATACAGAATTTGAGAAAATCTCTCGGGAAGTATAGTGATAATATGATGAACTATCAGCGATTGAAATTGAGGTATCAAGACTAGTGAACATGAAAATGGGTGCGTTAGTTTCGTTTTCTATAAACAAATACAGCAAAAGGAGAGTTGGGGTGGATGAAGAAATCAAATGCTTACCCCTATAAATAGCAAAATAAGATTCGATGCGATGAATGCGGCGAAGATGCCCAGGTCTCTCCACTGAGTGCCATAATCCATTCCAAAGTTTTGGTAGAATTGATCGCCAACCTTGAATGCGCAATACTCACAGGCACTTGTCGCATTGTCAGTAATATAACCAGGACCGCCCATATCGAAGAAAGGCTGCATATAAGTGCCACAGTCCATGCCAGAAGGCGCAGAGAAGGTATTGCGTTCAGCAATAGTGCAGACAACTTGTCGCTGATGCAGCTCTGTTGTCACCATTCCACTGACGAGCCGGGTGAATGGGTTGAGTTCATAAAGCCAAACACGCCAGAAGCGTGGAATTTGAGGCTTGGGAATGGCAACGCCACAGAACAGAGCGAGAATGATATGGAAGGGTGGGTTCAGCTGGGCCGCGATGAATGCGCTAAGGGTTAATGCCGCGATCATCTGCCCAGCTGTCACGGCGAACATCTCAGCAATCAGAACCATGAGGAACTGATATCCTGCACGCTCGCTGGATGATTGTAGCCCTGGAATATAATAGATTGGGAGGAAGAATATTACTGAACAGAGGATGTTGTATGGAATCTCCGCAAGAACCATTGACAGAGCAAACGGGAACTGCTTATAAGTCTTAGATGCTGATTCGCGATAGAAGATCATACACACTATATCATATCTCGGTTCCACCTGTGCTAGAATAAGCGCCGGGATGACAGTGATCTGGAAGATAATGAAAATGCGGTATTGAAGCGAGCTACGGGAGTCATCCAGCTGCATGAAGACGAGGCCGGTAATCTATGCCAAAGCTGCATGGCTAAACAGACGCGTAAATCCGTAATTGGGTGATCGCCAAAAGGACAAGTTGGTTCGTTTGAGGACGACCTTGATCTGGTGCAGTAGGGGAGTGGCATATTCTTTTTCTAATTCCGCTGTCTCATCCTGAACCGACTGTATTCGCTCTGCTTTCATAGTGGCGATCTCTTCTTTAACCTTGACTAGTTCATGAGAGTCACGCCAGATATCACCCCAATCCCGGGGTTCTACGTGTGGTGACTGTCCAGCTCCAATCATATTGAGCATCCATTCTGCAGTGTTAGCATTGAGGGGGCAGTCAGCCCCGTTCCGTCGGAAGTAATCCAAAAGAACATGTGCATCCTTGCCAATGTCTCTGAAGTAAACACACTCTCCGCCTTTTTGAAGGAGGTGCAGGCGATCGAAAGTTTCAAAGATCGCAGAGTTAGACTGGTGAATGGTGCACAGAATAGCCTGGCCAGCGTCAGCGAGTTTGCGCAGGAAGCGGACAACATTGAATGTCGGCTCATCAAGGAAAAGCAGAAGCTCTGGCTTCGCTGCAAGTTCCACTCCAATGATGACACGCTTCCGCTCCTCGACTGAGAGTCCCGTTTCTGGATCGCCGATGATCGCATCTGCAAGGGTTTCCAGCTCAAGCAGTGATAGGATTTCTTCCACATACCCAAACTTCTCAGTCTCCGGGGTCTCGTATGGTTGGCGAAGCAGAGCTGAAAATTGAAGAGCCTCCCGGACAGTCTGTGTGGGTTCGTGCACATCAAGTTGCTCCGCATACGCTGTGCCACGCTGGAACGATGTGCCTGGGGGGCGACCATTGATCAAAACATCTCCACTGATGACTCCGATGTTTTTACGAGCAGCCAAAACATCAAGCAATGTTGTTTTGCCAGCGCCACTTGCGCCCATCAAGGCTGTGAGCGTTCCCGGCCGGACATATCCAAAATCATAGCAAAGTAAGCGGATTGTACCACCTTGAATTGGAACATCATAGTTCAGGTTTTCCCATGACAGAACAGCCTTGGATTCGATCTTAAGCTCACTCTCTGTCTCATCGACTTCCTTGTTCTGCCGCTTTTTCTTTTTCTTCATGAGATCTTCGTTCAACCTTTTCAATTCAGGAGTTTCTTTTGCAAAATAGGTGATGGTCTTACCCCCCGCTCCCCAGTTGACAGTCTCGCCTAGGAATGAGTTCGTGAAGAGGAAGGCAAGAATAAGGATGATGATAATACCAAAATTTCTCCACATATCTTTGACATCGTAACTAAATTCAACATTCAGGTAATCTGTTCCGGATATTATCCTGGATCCAGACTCAGAACCAGGAAGGGTACAGGCTTGATGTGCAATGTTGCTATAGCCTGGCCCTGCTGGAATAAGAGTTTCCTTTTCACAAGTCATAGTCAGTCATCTAAATTCGTTCGCCATTAGAACTGCGAATCCCAGCCCAAGAGCATTGATGTAAAAGATCCACCGGAGCCAAGCTTGACTGCTCTGCCACTGAATAAGATATCCAGCTGTCAAAACAAGCAATGTGAGAATAATCGAAACGCCTTTCATTGCATAGTCGAAATCAGGGCATATGCAACCGACAGTTCTAAAGAATAGGGTCATTGCAAGATATCCAAGGATGATGACGATGACGAATGTAAAAAATGCACCCGCATCCAATGCCAAGCTGCACATGAAATACACAATTATACTGAAAACCAACATCTGCGCGGATGAAAACGCTAGGTCTATGCTGATTTGAGCAATCCACAGAGCGCTGGGCCTGTGGAAGCTGAAGACTCTATGCCTGTTCACAATGGGGCGTCCTATCATGGTTGAAGCCAGTTCGAAAATGCCTGGAAAGCGTTGAAGAGCAAAGATATGAAAAGCAAGCCACCCTGAGTGAAAGCGCCAGCACTGGTTTTTGGTAGTTTCAGCCAAACGGTACCGAGAACCATAGCAATAGTAATTGAAGTTATCCAAGCAACGGTCAGCGCAAATTTGTCCTGCCATTTAATGAGGAATTGACGACGCATGAGAGCCCAGACCTGGAGATAGAAAGGGATACAGTAAACCGAAGATTTTGGGGTAAACTTTCTCTTTGCTTCGCGATTGGCGATTTCAAAGTCTGAATAAACGTGCTTGTCAACTTCGAGATTGGCGCGATATTCGGCCATCTCATCTTTCAGTTGCTGATTACATCTGGACTTATCGAACGCCTCAGCAAGCGCCTGCGGTGTTGACGGGTTATTTTCCTCATTGCAGCCTTCCTTGTATTCTCTGTCGAAGCGGTCAGTGCAGCTTATCAAATAGTCAGGAGTAGTTTGGCGGGGCTTCTCTTTGAAGCCCAGACCTTCAAAATATTGACGGGCCTCAGATGCGGGGCCAAAAAAGACTTGGTGTCCTTCATCTAGAACCATGACCTTATCGAATTGGCTATAGATGTTTTCTGACGCCTGAGCAAGTGAGATGAACGTCGTGGTCTGGTAAATGTTAGTCATGATTTGAATAGCTTTTGCATAATCCAAAGCGGTTGTCCCGTCGAGACCCTGAGTAGTATTATCCCAAGCAAGAACAGTGGCGGAAGTGATCATCATCTCCGCAATGCTCACACATTTCCGCTCACCACTAGAAATGCCGCGTATGAATTGGTTGCCAATGATTGTGTTTGCAGTGTGTTCAATATTGAACATTTTGAGCAGGAGGTTGATGATCTAATCAGTGTGAGCATACCAAAATCAGGAAGATATATGCGGAGGTAGAGAAGCGCATCGGACTCACCTTTTCCTTGAATTCAACCTTTGACATGCCAATGGGCCGCTTGCCTGGAGTCTTTGTATCTAGGGCAAACCCAAGAGTCTGAGCGACAGTGAGAGTAGGGTGATGGATATCGTCTTCCTGGTTATATACTGCCTCGCCCCTGAACCGTTTCGCGAAAGTCTGAGCATCGAAAGAGCCATATAAGACTTCCCCATCAATACCGGTGTAGCCAAATCACTGATTGGCAATGACCTTAAGGAATGTCATACAGCCAGCCGACGGCTTGCTGAGAACCAACACCATCTCACCAGGCTTAACCACGCCCCTGAAATTTTTCAAAAGCTCATATTCAGTGCCCTTTTTGCCAATGCCAAAAATGCTCATGATGGTTCCTGGAACATTGAAGAAATCGATAATTGCATCCGGAACATTTTGACAATGTTCTTGACTCCTCCAATACCACGCACCGTGAGATCCTCCCAAATGACGCCTAGGCAAGTTCATCAGTACGCTTCCAACATGGAAATTGTGGACAGGACACAATTTATCCTACCAATGCACTTCGGCCTGATTCCGGCCTCGACTTCAGCGGCCTGGTTCCTGTGAAGGGCAGCTTGAAGATCCCATTGTTCTTCAGATCTGCTAGACCTTCAACATCATTCTGACCTTGTTTTTCTTCCAAATGGGAGTGGCGTCTGCTGTTACGCGAGACAACCGAAAGCTGCTTGCTCGAAGTCCTCTTCGGCACGCCGAACATCGACTCCAGTCTGAGGATGTGACAGCCCCTGGGAATGTGTGTTCTTGAGGCTCTCAAGTCGCTTCTCATATTCGCTATCCGCTGGCAATGTATCAGAATCAGAAGTATCCATGCCATCCTCCCGCGATCGCCGGGATCGGGTACTTAGGAGGGCCATTAGTTCACCAGGCCTTCCTGATCAGCATTCCCGGCATGTAGGTCGATCAGGTTTGAAAAGCTTATATGTGACCTCCTGATCTAATCGGAAGTATGCTCGCTCGTCAATTGAAAAAAATATTTGGGATGGCTGTAGCAGTCACATATAGACTGAATGGAATTGAAAAGGAGCTGATCAGTTTGATAATAACCTGTAACGGCCACTGATAGGAATAAGAGTGCGAATGGAAGAAAAAAGAGAGAAAGAAAAACTGAGAGAATGGAGGGAAGAAGGAAACTTGGCCCTGGGTTTAAGAGATTTCAATCATTTCTCATCGGGCCAGTCCTCGGGATCAAAAAAAGAAAAGCCGCAGCAAGAAATAAAATTCTAGCATTAATGTTATTGTCTAGCGCCCAGGCCTTGTGCTGTTGATGTGCGAACGAAGCTTGACCTGTTAAATACTAGGCTGTTAGTGATATTTTTAATAGGGTCCGATCCCCGGGACCAGTGATAGTAGACTTTGCAACCCAAACTAGGGATGTGGAGGAATTCCATTGCAACGCAGGGCTCCACCGAGGCTATGAAAAATTTCCTAGGTACTGTATGTACAGCACAAATCTTTCTTTCTAAGCTGTATTCTCCGTCACTTTGGAAAAATGCTTCCCAGCTTGTCCACACTTTTATCATATAGTTACCGACCATTTGCTGTCGCAGCCGCGGCGGTTTGCTGACTCGTGTCGGCTGGCTCCGCGTTGCGCACCAAGAGAGTAGTGTATTATTCGTAAACAACCTGCAAAATGACCCGGGCCGAGGAGAACCTTTGCTTATGAATCTCGATAGCTCTGGAAATTTGGAGTTCGGCGGCGAATGAACCGGTCCCAATCTACTAAACCCCCCCCTCCTTGAAAGAATAATAAAACTGCTAAGCCCTTTCCACACTGCATGGGGTCATTCATGTTGCCCTTAATATCATATCTAAATAATTTCCATGCTGTCCATAGCTGAACCCTTGTTCATGATTGCCTAGTCATATCTATTAGGATCTATTGAATTCTGATAATAATCTGCGTTTTCATAAATTGCCGAGTTTGTTCAGCCAATTCTTCTGCCACGTTCGCCACGTTGACCCGCGCGAGTTCCCACCCCTTATTGGATAACTAGCGTGGAGGAGCTTGCCATTCTATCCGCTAGTGTTCAACAAATGCGGTCTCCGATACGAAAATGAATGCATGATTCACATGGATAAAGATACTTATCCAGAAATTATTAGGTGTCATACACCCACCCGGTCGTCCAGCGCAGAAGTTGGGAAGTATGGAAATGTCATCGCGATGGTACAGCCGAAGTGCGGATGACATTGTGGACCTCTCAAAGGTTAATCCGCAAACTGTTTCTCGTCTGACGGTCTGAGTCATAATTTCTCACACCCATAGATATGTTTTCCACCAATAATGCCAAGATGAGGCACCAATCGAACCACGATATGGATTATGATGGATATCCCATATCTTGAACACAGGCACCGCCTGGGCACTCCGAAATGTCTTCGTTGCGGAATACACATTATTTCACCGGTTTCTTCAAACACTATGCTTTCCATCAAATCTCCTTATTTCACTTCACCAGAACACTCAATGGCCCAAATGCAATGAAAATGGGTTTGCGATCAGCCGGTAGCTAACCAATTATGGGCCATTCTTGCATTTTAAGCCATCATGCGATACCAACAGAATCAGAAAAAAAAAAATTCATGACGATAGTAGTAGCCATCAATGATGCTAAATTCATTTCACCAGCCCACCCCACCGTCTATCTTGAAACTAGACATTCACACCCAATGACCTATGTTTCTCGATCATGATATACTCGAAAGTACGCCCGCGGACGGGTCTTAACTCCGTAGTTCACCCCCCACATTCCACCGAAATCCGACATCACCACCAGAAGCAACCAAGCGAGAATCCGCCGCAAATCAATATCTAATAATCATGAACTAGAACTCATGAGTTCCATCAAAATCTCTCAATTATCCAGCCTCGTTTGTCACCAGAGGACTTCGACACCTGATAAGCCAGGACGCCCATCGCTTCTTTATGGTTTCCTCAGCTTAGTAGTTCCTATAAAATTCTCTTTGTTTAGGATACGTGCATTGGAACGACAGCCTTCAATAATCTACTAAAAGTATAAAGAGAGAAAATCCCCCAATGCAACCTTTCTCGTAGGACATATTGAGTAGATAATCACACTGCTGAGGCTTGTAAATAAGCTAACCTGCTATACACTTTGACATTATTGTCGTTTGTCGAAGCTTTAATTAAGGTGTTGGCGTAAAAGTTTAATCAACTTAAGGTTATCTCCGTGTCTCGATCTTATCAGATCTTTGCCTGTCAGCGTGTCGCCATCCAAATGGCTCAACACAACCACTTGGAAATGAAATAGTAACTCAGAGTATGATTATAAGACGCTATTATTGCAACCAGTGGGTGATTATATACCACAGAAAATTGGAATGTTGAGGCACTCAATAATTTCAAACAAATTTGTACTTTTTCTTTCAGCTTCTGGCCTCTACACACTATCTCAGGCATGATTGTCGAGAATCCAGGTTCTTATTTTTGCAAAATACTACTTCACTTGCTGTGATGATACATAGAATGTTGCAGCTATTTTAACAGAGTCTTGATCTGTCTATACTAACTGACAAATTTGACAAACATAATCAAGACTGTTGCTCTAGTGAGAAAAATTGAGATCATAATTCATGAAGTGTCTGATGCAGCTCTTAGCAATAGTCGAGAAATAGTACTAGTGACCTCAATCATTGTTAATAGAGAAAATCAAAATATGTAAGCTCTTCATTGATAACTTTATTAGTTGTAAAGGTTGTTAGAAAACTAGCCTGCCATGATCTCACAATGAAAGAGACTAACTAGAGTATTTATGATGCAACTATTAGAGGTTCTCCAAAGACTTTGGCTCTGGAAAGTAGTATGAGAGAGGGGGGCTGCTCATGAAAATCCTTTACTCATTGTCAATCATATGCTCCCATTGTCACCGTCCTGGGCAAGATGGAATAAGATCCTTCATCAGGATTCTGATACAACCTCAAGTTTTGAGCCCTTGATAACCGTTAGCCTTCAAAAATTCCAATGTAACCTCTCCCTCTCTTTATCCCATGTGCAGGGTGGGAGAGATTATCAGTCTTTATTTGATGAGCTGCCTGAAGCAATATGGAAAAAACAAGAAAAAGCATTAACAATATATCAAACACAAAAATTTATACATACACTCTCAATGAATGCCTGAGAACTTTGACAGACCCGCTATTCTGTTGGGGCAAGCATAGCTGGGATGTGGCTAAATTGTAAAAGTTGATACGCTTTATCCTCATATAAGGGGCCATGCTGCTGGCCAACTCTCCCACCACACGCAGAGGGAGGGACAAATAGAGGGAGAGGTTACATTGGGTTTATGGAGGCTAATGGTTGTGAAGGCCGCAAAACTTGAGGTTGTATCGGACGGTGGATCTCAAAGGTACGAGCTTTGAGACACTGGCTAAAGCTAACACGAACGGGGATGGGGCTTTGCATCTAGACATGATGAATGCGGTTGACGCACGCTCAACCAGAAGCGGAATCGAACGTAGCCTTGGCAGCAGACACCGACTACAAAGCAGTCTTCACATGCCTCTGCTCCTCCGATTACCATAGTAGAGTGTGATTGGCTAGGCCTTGTAACCCTTCAGAGGGCAGGATCCAAGCCACGCTCGACCAGCGCTAGACACGGGAAGCATCTGGTATTTTTTTTGGCACCAGGGAGCCTATTATGCAAAAAATCATCGTTCTGAAGATTTGATGTGGAGTAGGACTAGCATGTTGATCCTTCATGATCATCCACTGTGGAGTTTCCAGCGTCACGGCTGGGAATTTACGAGCAGACGAAACAAATTCCTTGTTATGTGCGGCGCCTCATTGGTCCTTTCAAACGCAGCCTCATCAAGCGTATGCGCCAAGTTGCTCAGGTCTAATCTCTTCATGCTTTGGGCTATGCTAGCAACATAGAGCCGGCACAGCTAAGCACTCCAGCCTTGCACGCTTTACACGAGCTCAACGGTACAAACCGTGAAGTTTTATACAGAGGAGTTACCCCAGAAACGTCAAGAATTCCTACTGTTTCATCCACGACCAGGGGAGGAACCTTAATCTCTTCGGATAACCTCGTACATTTTCTTGGAACACGCCGTATAGCTGTTAAATTTAGCCACTTTCGAGGCGGCCCAGTTGCTAATGGGGACTGACATTAATCAAACGTATGAGAGGACGCAGCAAATGGTTTCAGGAATGAATTCACGGTCCTGGGCCATGAATATTTGGGGAGGAGGGTGAATATATAAAGGTGGGCACGATCCACGGGGGATTTTTTTTACCTTTCATGTTGGAAGACACAGATCATTGTTGACATTTTTTCCACCCAACCTGTCAAAGCCGAATTGTTTTGTCCATTACAAAATGAAGGCACTCTTTTCCCAGGCCCTGTCACTTGCGGCACTCGCAATGACATGGAGCCCTACTCAGGCAGAGCAACTTGCTGCCCGCGATATCACCATGTTCGAAGAACGCTTCCTTAACTCGCTCGAATATCAGCTCCCCAACAATACCATTAAGCTGATCGGCTTCAAGAAGGTCAAAGTTCCAGAGCACGAACGTGGCGACCTAAACCAGCACTACCTGAGCAACCCCCAGGAATGGGGAAAGCTGAAGAATTATTTCTACGATCCATCCAGCGGTACATTCCGAATTTATTTCCCTGTGGAGGGGGCCATAGTCTCGCATGACGGGAAACAACACGAGGCAAACCACCTGGGAGAGCTCAAACTCCCAAAAATTCACGGCGATTACTCAGTCCTAGGCAGGAAGCAGACTTCCCACGTCACCGGTGTCGAAGGCAATATCATCAAAGACGGCATTATTTACCTCGAGAACCCTCCAAAGCCGCACGCTCAGCATGGGAACGCCTACGTATATGACTTTGGGGTCAAGGTCGTCCTTGACCACGACCACAGCGGGCGCCTCCAGAAGCGAAAGGGGAAGAAAGCGTGCATGAACAACCACGGTGGTCCCAATTGCAGCTACAAATACAACATCCATGGCAAATGCAAGCGACGTCGTGACACCTGCATGGATTATAACGGCTGGTTTTCCAATTGCAAGAAGAATGGCCCCACTTGGAGAAACTTCCCAGGAAGTGATTGCGACAAAGCCCTTGGCCGTGGCCATTGTTGGAATGAAGTTATGTAAGGGGATGCCGAAGAGTTTAACGTCTGTGGCGGGTTGAACGGTTCTCAAGAACGATTTGTGATATCCGATTTCAATATCTAAGCGTTTTCCTGGGTTTTGCTAGTCATCTTCCAAGATAGCATTGTAATCCTGTTGGCTTTGATTAAATATTATTTTCCTCTCTGCAAATCCGAAAAGAGCTTAAATCTTATTGAAAATAGCAATGAGTTCCTATCTCTCAACAACTTGCTCATCAGCTCAATACATTAACAAGGGATGCTCCGTACATGACCTTGAGCATATAAACATGACTTCAATATTATTTTATGAACATACCAAGTCAGACAAAAAGTGTTGATTTGTTGGGAATGATCCCAGCCATCGCATTGGCATTATAAAACGAGACACACCTCAATCTGTCCGTCAACTCTGCCCCTCAGCCCCATTTAGGTTCAATTTGCAGCTTATTGTGTGACTTTTTAACATGGCGCGGGGTTTCTAGCCAGCCCTCAAAGTATTAAGGTGGGTGGCTAGCACGACTTTCCAATAGAGTGCACTTTACCTCTGTACACTTCTGCTGGTCAAACTAGCATATGAAGCCAGTTTGTATGAGCGTTTGCGTTAGCATTAGTGACAAATGGATATTCTATAGTTACTAGTGTTTCAATGAGCACACATTACTGATACTGATTTGTATTAGCAATCAAGATCTTCTCATTGAAGTATGAAATAATGACTCACATCAGTGGGGAGCTCTCGACCTGGGACAATCTCTCGGCCAGTCTCCAGGGGAATATATCCATCTCTATGCCCGGGGCCGCTCTATACCCAGGGGCTCTATACCCAAGGGAACTCTATATCTATATACCTGGAGGCGCCTCTATCCCGGGGGCTATACGGAGTACAGTACAGTACAGCTGAGAGAATTACAGAGAGATCTGTGGGGTAACTATAGTCTGAAAGCCAAGAGTGACTAAACCACATACAGAAATATACTAACTATATTAGAACTAGTGTAATTTGTGTGTGACTATAAAATCAGAATTATGTGGAATTAAGTTTTTACACTGGAAAAACATTGAAAAAAGCCATTTGACACATTTGTCACTATAGACTGCCGTAGTACAGACAATGTTCACAAACTCGTTCAACAGACTGCCAGTTCACCTAGCTAACTTTGCTGTGTGTATCACTATAAAAATTGAGAAAGAAAATCATGTAATAGGAACAGCGGCAGCGTATGTCGTAAAGTAAACACTGTGTATGCACGAAATGAACATAAAATTCGACCTTTGTTATATGCCCATACCAGCTATTGCATTAACCAGGTCAAGCGACTTGGTAAGAAAAGTCCCGGCGCGAACCAATCTAATTCTTCTCGAAATTGATTTTGACACCCTCGAACAACACAAACTGTACACGATCAATTTCAGTAGAGCCTCCGGGTCCACTGTACTCCGTAAATGGTAGTTAATTGGACAGCCTCAAGTTTATTGGCATGAAGGGACAGCCATTGAATGTGATGGCACGCTGCTTAAGGGAATTAGAATAACAGCAGGACACTAGAACATATTCTTCAAGCTTTTCTGCGTGACGAAGGTAGTAGCTGACGCATCGATGCACCGGCCAATAGCTGGTGGGAGTCGAGAGAAAAGAAATAGGATGAAAAGATCGTTTGTTGTTGGGATTAAATAAGGTTTGCCTTGGAGGCGGATTTGTAACTATTATTTATATGCGCGAGATGCAAGACGTCAATTTTCTTCTACCCAAGCTTCAACTTCTCCTTTCTTTTCCGTTTCCTACAGCACAGCGAGAAGACTCCTGTCCCCTAACACAACTTCAACCTCTTAACAATGAATTCTTGGTGGACGAGTCTTATTCCGCCTGTCCGGTTATTTTTGCCTATCATCCTTTTCGATTGGGCTGTCAGGTCCGTAGAGAATGGATGCACCCTTTGGTGGGATTGAGCCTAATTCCCAACCATCAAATGTTTTCCTATCGCCAGGGCTCAAAAGGATTCCTTCCAACATTGCTGGCCTTATTCTTAAGTGTGAGAGTCACAACGCTGCCCAGTAGTGGAGCGTTTGAAAACCTGCCATTGACTGACCACTTGATGGTAGGTCTATTTCGGTCCATGTGAGCATCAACAACCCACTATTGGAATAAACTCGCTATTCCTTCCATGCTCCAAGAACAAGTGGGCTCTCTTGTTCAAAATTTTAACATTGACTGAACTGATGTCTTGTCGGTTTGTCTTTCAAGGTTACCTTCGCGCCATGGGCACGGAGAAATCCCAATGCTAATATGGATATACACCAAACAGCACCAGTGGCATGCCCTCCAAATGCAGATGGGTAGTAAAGCAGCTCGGAAGAAGTGTAACCGAAGGCAGGGGGGAAATATATATATATATATATATATAAATAACATAAAAAAATCAATATCCAGCAATTTCTGTCTCCTGTTCGTCCGGTTCACCTAGACCATTCTTCGTGACCTGACAGCTGCGGGTGGCCCAATACAATTGAACCAATGAGTGTCAAACTCTGTGGAAATATTTAGCTAAAAGAAGCTAGGAAGAAGGTAGTTACATGTAACTACTCCGTACGTCTGCTTTGCCAAGGTCAGCTGCCCTTTTCAACACGTCTATATATCAAGGATGAGATTTCCTCATCTTCGCTATTTTAGTATACGTTTTCTTTCTTGTCAGTTTTCGTCTTCTCCTTTTTCTCACCGTCAGATATGTCACGGCTTTCCTTCTTCTTCTAAGAAGAAGGACCTCCCAGGAGTAGTACTACATTTGGTTTTAAAGTGCAAGTGGGCTTTTCTAGCGGTTATTCCACCCACATACTGAAGTTTACTTTGATTTTATAGGCTACTGGCCAGCAGGTTATCATGGACCGACAATCACCGACGCTTTCTAAGGAAACCACCTATCATCAGAGGTCGATTGGGCACCTTGGGCAGGCAGGAGGAATAGATACGGATAATTTTCCACTAAACAATACACTCGGCTCCCAACGATATCTCCCACATTCAAGTGAGACGAGCATATCTTTTACTGGATAGTGACTGTCCAGTTTAGATGCACCGGAGGCTTTGATATTTTGTGAAGTTGTCATCCTCTCGCAGTTGACGGATTGTCGGACTGTCGGACTCCATACAGAACTGTCCCTGGGATTCCGCAACTCTTACCGTGTCAGCACTGAAGCCCAAAGAACGAGTTTCCACGGCATCTTTCTGACACTCCATGCGACGCCTCAGTAGATAGTTGATACTAGGTAGGGTGATTCATTGGTGCTGACTTAACATGGGTTATACACTACGGGGTACTGACCATTCAAACGATTCTTGATACCAAAACATACTTTGGACTATCACCAGGACTTCAGTGTCCTTATGATCTCAACTTTAGCCCTGACAACTCTGCCTCGCGTCGGGTATCCACGCAGCCCTTTTGACTCTTTGTGCCAAACGTAGTCGGGAAAAAAGGGGCTGAAATGAGTAGCTGGCAAGGTGATGTATTTGACAAATTCCCAAAGTTCCTCCAGGTTATGTTGCTCCTTGGTATTCCTGCCTCATTTAGGCTGAGCATAAAAGGCCAGGTTATTTCCCTTGACTCATAAAAGTCAATGAAAACAGGGCGCTTTGCTGTCAACACTCACGCATGACCAAACCAGCAACATAGGCCACTAGCAACTTGTCCATTCCGAGCGAAAACCTTGCAATTTGCTATAGCTTTACATCGAGTGTGCTTTTTACCCTTTATTTTATCAATCACGGTGGGTAACTTTGGTGGTCCCAGTATGCGCTTCAACCGCCGTAACTTATGTTTAGCAACCTAGATTTTCCGCGTCTAGCGGACCTCAAGCATCTCCCACGTGGTATCGTACTCGAAACCATCATGTCTACCAACTTGTTGAAATTTTATTTCAATATCGAATTCGTACAACCAGACTACGAAGTCCAGCGTGAAATGCGCGACCCCCAGTCGTACTGGTACCCACCGACAGACCCAAATGGCGTTTCCGTTGTGGCAACAACTGGATGGAGAAAATGGGACGCTGGTTCAATCACCCAGGCACACGTGCCTGGGGGTATCAATGTCCAAGAATGTTCTCTCTTTTATGATTCCGAAAGGGATATTTTCCTGGGAGTGCCGTTTAACTGCAAGAAAACTAGTGTGGAAAAAGAGATTAGAACTACGGACGAGGCGCATGGCTGGAGAAGACTTATGTTCAAACATCTGGAACCCATAGACTCCGGTGATCATTTATCAGTTCTTGCCTTCGATGCTGCATTTAATGTCTTTGCCGCTCCGGGATCCCCAAGATGGATGCCAGAACTTATGCCATATACCTACGACTACAATAATCTGGATATTTATGTCCCCGGACAGACAGCTCTTGCTGGAAACCTGGCTCTCTTGCTTGGATTGGCAGCTTTTAGCGGCCCTTTTCCTGAACGCAGTCTTGACGTCGAGCAGTCGTTGAATGCGATCCGAGCATTCAGGCCTCCTCATTGGGTTCCTCATGGAATGAAAAGTCGAAGTGAGTGCTCCTAAGCGTTTAATGAAGGAAGATCCTAACGTACTTTAGGGCCTCATAGCCGAGGGGTTATCGTCTCCATCAGGGGTGTCGGAGGCAACGAGGCGGTGCTGGACAAGTGGGCACGGGGAGATTTGGGTCCGTTGATCAACCCATGATCAAGTAGGTTGGCTATGCACTTTCACAGAAACTAAAACATAACCTTTATTGACCTGATCAGCTGTAGTAGTCCTATATCATGCATTACCAAGAACCTGATTCGCAGTTCAGAAGATCGGTATTTTTGTGGAATCAACCCGTCCAAACAATCGGAATCTAGCCATCATCTATCGAGTTATAATCTTCTTCTTTACGCCCCCTACCAGCTGCCATTGTCATCTATTTGCCATGGCTTAAATTACGTTCGCTTCAATTGTAGAAATCCGAACATAACTGTTTTTCTTTCCCTTTTTGCTTGAGAATATCCTGCAGAAGATATTATCATTCCTTCGTTACAACACGTCGACCCCACCTTCTCTATAGGCAACATTTCAACTTCCTCAGGTCTTATTTTTGGCTAGTTCCTTTCCGCTTTCTTTTCCAACAGTTTCCCGATTCCTAATCGTGTCCCCACTCTCAGCGGTCACTTACCTAGACACATGGAATTGGTTAAAGATATCCCGAAGATAGCAACCTCAGTAAATGAAAATGTCTTCACAGATACTCTTCTATGCATCACCTCGTATGGACTACACACCACATATAGCGATAAACCTTGAAAACATGCATTCTAGTTTCTCAGCATATTCCGAAACCTCATTTGCAATCCCTCCTCGAGCAGTATTCATGTGCCTAGTTAACCCACCACTTACTTCCTTCCAACTCTCCCCTCCTAAAGACAAATCCCGCACAATATTATCAAATAAGATAATCAGCTAGTTAAATTTAGATTTACCCTACTGGCATCTGTTTCACTGGTTTATTATTTCATTCCTCGTTTTCCATCTTCCCTCGGAGACCGCATAGATTATGCGAGTTTTTCCCCTAACAAAATAAAACTAAAGGAATTCCCCACACCATCCATATTGCTTGAATTCTCGATACCCGACCTTATTATGCGAAACTTACTTCCCATTTTTAAGGGGGTTAGCAACGCTGTAGTTTGAGAAAAGAAAATCAGATACTAGGAGCTAAAGCCAAATGGTTCTATCGTCTTATCATTTATTAAATGTGCACAGCCATACGCGCAAGGAACTAGCCCAACCTAAGGGCCGTCCATAAAGCAACTACAGAGACGACACGAAGTGAAAAAAGCCACGGCCTCCTCGCGTTCGGGTAAGGTAAAAGCGGTTCATGTAGAGATTATAAGGTATGATATGGAAGCCCATCAGCTAGCCTCTCCCGCTGATGCGGTGCTAAGAAAACAAAATTACATTCATGACTATAGTTGAACGGAACGGTTTGTTTCCACACATTTTATTATCCCGGCCTAGGGTCCGTGTTTCGTTCACGCTGCGTGTCTCTCGTTTCATTGGATGGGCTGTATCATTGCACGTCAGGTAGACGAACTGCAATATCGCCTGACTGAGTAATATATCGGACCCACGGAAGCGATGGGTATTGTAGCTATATAAAGGGACGCGCTGTTAGTTAGATATTTCGCCCACATAAAAGTGTTAAGGTGCGGAGAATGATAGCGATGACTGGAAAGAGGGTGGGTGAGTGGGAGGGCAGGCAGAAGATAGCACGCTCATGCAAAGTTGTTTTAATGTCGGTTCTCCGACGAGGAACAGCCGGATGGCCGAAGTAGGGGGTCTGCTTTGAACAAATCTAGAGGAGAATGTGTTGCACGCTGATCGAGTGCGGGGTACGGCATGTAGGGGGGTAGACTGTGAGCTTGGCATAAAAGCGCTGATGCTTCAATGTGTCCAGTCATAGAATCGCAAATGCGTTCTTGGGATGCAGGTGGCCGAATTTGGGTCATTGGAATTTTGGCCCATGCTGATGGAGATGGATAGGTAGGAAAAAGCAAAAAAGTAAAAGAGAAGCCCTTACCTTCGGTTCAATAATCTTTAGATATCGTACTTGGATTCCGCTAGTAGTGAAATAGGGGATCTCAAATTTGACGTTGATTGGACGTTTGCCTTTTCCAGTTTGTCCAGCACCCCCCATACTACCGCCAAAACCACCAGTCATACCGCCTCCATGTTCATCGTCTCCTTTCACTGACGGTAATCCCAGTTCAGCGCGCATGAGAAATTCTTTCCCGCCACCGAATTGTTTTATTTTCCATATTATTGCGGATTTTTCTGGTGCATAATGGACAGACCCTATGTTAGTGCGGAATCTTGGAGAATCTGCGTCTTCCGGGACGGGAACCAAAATCTCAACATTATTTGCAGTGCTCCGGCGTTTGAATTGAGCTTTCGCCTATGTAACAGTTAGACTTAGTATCTAAATTTACTTGGAATTGCTTACCTTCAGCATATATTCAATACGTGAACCTGAATGTGACTCCACCAGACATTCGACCCATATCAGGGGCTTCACTTGAGTATTTAACCGATAACTCATAAGTTCGAATTCCCCATCGGGAGGAATGAAGCTGATTGTTCTGTCGTTCTCAAAACGTGATAATCGAACGCACTGGTGGAATTTTACATCCTCCATTTCGACGGCCTTTCCTCTTGTTGCTCTTCCTGTTGTTTCGAACATTGCTTTGTCATTCAAACCCAGCCTTAGTTCGGGCATACCACTTAGATAACATTTCATTTTGATTGCCCCTAGGATTTCGGATCGAAGGACATTGCCATTGGCGGATACCAGGAGATTCAACGACTCGACCACATCGAGGAACACCTCATTCTTGCGATATCTAATTCCTTCGCTTCTCCAAGACACGGCATTTGTAACGGCGATCGGAGGTCGAGCCTGTATCTCTAGTTTGTGTGATTCTTGGGTAATATACCTGAAGCGACGTTAGACAGGGATCTTGCAAGCAATGACGGGGTCTGCAGTTTGTTCGAAGGAATCTGGGAATCTGAGCAGAACAATGCACATACTCCTGCAATATCTTAGACTCTGTTGTCTGTGGGTATCCGAAATCCATCATCTCGTCAAGCAATTCATAAATGATAACGAAGTTATCTCTGATGCTCTCTTCCTCCAACTCCTTGAAGTATTCAGTGAAAACCTCGACGATCTTGTGAAGGAATAACAAGATTTCCGCAGCATTTGTGTTTCGTTTCGTTAAAGCTAGGAGATAAAGGTTGCTATGGCGGATATAAAGGTACTAATGGAGTAATCGTATCGTAAATATGAGGTGGTGTCCAGCACGGTAAGGGAAAGGAAGGACTCCCCAGGACTTGGAAAGGAAACTAATATAAACGTACATTTATGCCTTCATCAGAAAAGCACGGAGGGACAGCAGAGCTCTCTTCTTCTGCTTCACTGAGGAGGATAGGGAATTTCTCGACTGCGGACATGGGAATATCCCCTCTATAGTTGCGAGCCAGAAGGGTCTACATCAACCGCTAGTCAGCTAGGATTATTCCAACACACAAGTATATTGAATTGAAATAACGAATCTACAAATGTTAGTAGACCCGAATTTCCTAGGATCGATCATACCTTGCCCTTCAGGTCCAGAAAGAATACTGCGGACGCCATGATGCGCTGTTGGGCATCAAACAGCACGGGGTTCAATGTTGAAGGGAACGGGTGATTCCTGTGGATGGGCTTATTTAGCCATCGCAGCGGTACGAAAATCAGCAAAGGGGTATCAAATACAATATGGCGCCAGAGAACACATTTATCACTCCTCAACAGTTCAAAGCATCTATTCGCTATCTTGTCTTTTCCCGCGGCTTGGAGCAAGTGGCATCGTCGACTTGATACCAGCCCACTTGGCGCTACGACCAAATAGAGTCTAGCGCCATCTCCCAATCCCATATAAAAGCTTTTCGCCAAACTTTTTCTTTCTTGTATTTTTAAATATTATAACTCACGCACCCAACAGACAGTGCAAGTCAACACAAAAATTATCATGATTTTGCCTGTATTTTGACCTCTGGCTTTCTGTCAGAGTTCAGCTCTCGGGTTACGCCATTGATGATCTTGCGATATCGTGGTGCGCAGACTGAATAACGGAGACTCCATAAGAACTGGCCGTGTATTTTTTTCTTGGTTACGCGGGCGGTGTCAGAGGAATCAAACATACGCTATATAGATAGAATAATTGTCTTTAATTTAAACGATCTAGGCTAATGAACAACTGAAGAAGAAAACTATATATAAATAAAATCCTGTTAATACATAAATACCTAGAATCGCATAGAATCTAAAAGAGTCTAATAAACGTACAAACGCCGACCAAAAATGCGGTATCCCCAAGGAAGAAAAGAACGAAAGAAAAACACCCTATAAAGTGTCTCGTGGCATGCCGATGTCAAATCCCAAAGGTTTGAGTATAGAATCCCGTGCCACCTGGTTCGCAACTGCACCCCCCTTCTCCAGCGCAACTGCACCAACCACCGCGTAAATCGCCTGCGTCAAAACGACTTCTAATCCGGATCCCGGAAGATCATTGCGCTATGGAACAGTTAGCATGCGGGAAACGGCAAAATTTTACTTTACGAAACGAATGTTCATACATATCTTGGTACCCATCTCAAGACCTCTCCTAGCTTATATTGTTCGGCGAGTGCGGCCAGCTTCGTTCGGTTTATCCTCATATTCTTGTTGTCTTCGGTGAGAGCGTCCAAGCCTTGCAAGGACGGATGCTCGAACGGAGTCCGACCATATGGGTCTTCGAGTTTTTGCGGCGAAGAAACAGACGAGCTCTCCAGTAGAGAGAGCGAGGCCTGGAGATGCACAATTTGTTTGCCTGTTGAATGTTGCAGATCAGCACTCACGAGCATATGATATGCCAAAAGAAATGAATCACGAGCAATCCAACATACCAAGGTAAGACAATCGCTCGTTGAAACCCCTCCGCCCTTGATCAAAGCTTTTATGCGTAACGGTTTGCCATTTGACCTCTTCCGTGAGCATCTTGTCGCCGTCAGGACCTAGCATTCGAATGTAGAACTGGTTGAGAATGTTCGGGTCTGAATTGACGGGATACTCTGGAATGTTTGGGCTCCCACGCAGCCGTACGGGAGCTTTCATTGCCGGTGGGGTCTCTTTCCATCGGGGTGCTGTCGGTGTTTCTGATGGGCTCGCAGCGGAGGAGAGAGCATGTCTTTGGATATGTGAGGCAGTGGCTCGCGAGCAAACTGACAGAGCAGCGGCGGGAGCACGCCAGCGCCCTTGCCGCGCAATTGCAGCGAAAGCTTGGCCCGGAATCTTCGATGTCATCGGTAGCAGGAAAGTCGCATGTAGGAGGGAGGTTTAGATGAAATTGCGGTGTTGCGTCGCGGGCTGGAGATGCTTCAACTTGATACGGAGCTTGGGAAGATTTTCCGCAAATCCAGGCTAACCTTAATCGGGAAACCGGCCCTGAAGGCTTCTTGGGCCGGACGGAAACAACATTTGAACCACAACTACTTGCTTTTGAATACTGAGTACTCCCGTCCCTGTCAAACTCCATCAATGGACAAGCTGTCATGGGTTACAGATAAACTTAGCCTCGGTATATCTTTGGACGCCTTACCATGCAATTGCAGCCCAGTGTGTTGGTTGGGTTGAACAACTATCGCGCCTCTCCCGTCCAGCCCCGTCAGGCCACGCTTAGGGTCTTTGCATACTACCTTCATATCGATTGGAATATCAAGGGAGTGGTCCTTTGTGAGATTTTTCGGCTGCTGCTAAGACCGATAAAGGCTTTATCTAGGCTCAATTGTCGGACCCTGATGAAGAGGTTCATTCACACCTGGGCAATCACCCACCCAATGTACGGTACATTTCCAAGCAGAATTCGGTTCTCAACTCCATAGAAGACTTGGGGAATAATCATTGCAACACGTGTCAAAAGTGTTCTCTGCTGGTAATGCTTCTGTTGCCTTGTTGTATTTCTATTCTTCTTTCATGTGGCTTCATATGTCCCGTTTCGAACGGATTTAAAGGCTGGCTACTTTAAATCATCAACATTATGGGGGCGCTACATTTTTTCACACAACTTTAGGCAAAGAGGCCCAAGACAGGGCGAAAAAACAGAGCACATTGATACCCGTTTTATAGTCCTCTATATTACCTCTCCCTTTTTGTTTCTTCATTCCATTATTTTTCCGGTTCGGTTCCCCAGCGGTTCCCCGCTGGTGCCAGTTTTCGGATACTCTGTGGTTGGCCCTTTTCTCCCGTGTTTGTTGTCACACCGGGAGGCTAGGCCCATTATTATACAGTAGTCGTACTTCTCTGGAAACAGCAGGCAATACCCGTTTTTCGTCGTCTATCCTGTTCCTATCGACTTAGACAAATAGCTTCACTCTTCGAAGGTCATACCCGGGATAGCCAGGTACAAGTGAACTGTCATAATGCCGATCACGGGCCCAACAAACTCGTTGCTTGCAGATATTTTCTTTGACGATAGTAATATACTATTGCTCCTCCCTATTGCTAAATATGACCCCAATATCCTGCTGGAATTGAGCAACACCCTCTGGAAATATCTGCTCTCGGTCCTTGCAGGATAGGCGAGTGATAGGTCCCAGAAACCTGGCATATTAAACCCCATGTTTCAATTTCAGGCCGTTGACATTTCTGCATATCGCCAACGGATGGTGCGTCGCGCGGCTAGTCGAAGCAGTCTCTCCAGTAACACGCGGGAGCAGCCACCTCTGCCTGGACGGACCCCTGCATATTTCCTGGAATATTTTTTCAACCATTCTTTGTTGTAAAATTATTCATTCACATAAAGCACTCTATACATAGTATTTCAACATCTGAATAACATGGTCGGGTGGACCCTAGTGCAGGTGCCCAGATTATTTAGGTTAACAATGCCATTCCCCACGATGTACCCAGCTGATATAAAAGCCGGGCGCAATCCCCATCTGGGGGATTTCTGCCATTACATCTTTGTTATCAATCAACAAAGATATTGTCTGTCACTCGTTCTTTTTTCCGCTCCTCGCCTAATTCACTTTTTTCTTCTATGAAATCAACACAATTTCAGCAAAGCCAAACCTAGTCTACGATATAAAAATATCATCACTTGATATTTTCACTCCTTTACTTCTCCATTGCGCAAAATAAAACATCCTTCCTCTTCCCAAATGTCTTCCCGACGCCCCATCCACTCCTCGCTTCGGCGCATCCACACTGCGCACCACCTGCAATCGCCTTCCCAGTGTCAAAGTGCATCATATTCAATTGGACAGGGCATCGCAAGTACAGCTCTAACCAAAAGCTCCATCTACGCCGTATACTCCGTTCAGGACCCTCCTTCGCCCCGTCCATATCCTCCAAACCCTCCCCCAAGTCCCGTTTAAGGCTTGAAACGTTTTGAAATCTCATTACGTATAGCTAAGTAAGTTCCCCATATTATCTCATCAAACGGAGCTATTTTTGCGCCTTCATACTCAATCAACGTCAAGTGACTAACGATTTTCTCAAATGGATTTTGCAGTTGACATGGGCCTAGCAATCCCTCCGGAGATCGATGAAACATTCCTATGGTGATATGATACTTTTCGCCGCGTAAAACGGAAACACGCTCGATCGTGGAAAATATGAATTCAAAGCACCCCCTGGAGGATTTTCCATTCGTCGACTCGAGTCATGACATCCTATGGAGGGAAAAGGCTCTGTTGTTTCCTTGTTATGCTTGTTAAGCCCCATAATTTTTATTTTTTTTCCATCTCAAAACTAATACGAGTTTTACCCTAATTGTAAACCCCCCTGTTGTTTCATTCCCTACATGTAACTCTTTTGTCAGGATTAGGTGCAACTTTTTTAGGAATTTAATATTTTCTCTTCAATTCCGCACCTACCCAGCACGCGGGTTGATCCTTGTAATGGTACAATAATTTTCTAGCAACAAGATTGTCATCTATTTTTGCATGATCAAGAAATCCACTACATAAATGGATTTAGGCGCCCCTGCGAATATCTGACAAGGTATTGACTCGCAGATACACAGCACTATACATTTTTTTATTTTTTTTATATCTTTGAAATGGCATAGGAAATAAGTATGGACACTGAAAGGGGAAACATCAATAAGACTGCAGCATCACCGGGAGACAAAAAAGACTAAGACGAAAATGAGAAATGAAGAAAGAGCAGGAGGCAGGAAAACAAAGACGAGAACAGAATGCCGCTACCACCATACATACATCATGCCAACCTACACGCCTACATCACCCCATCCATATTACATAAAAGCCAGCGCAAGTGCGCTGGTCACAGTCAGCCCAACAACTGTCCATCCAGTAACAATGACCTGCTTATTAGAGAATTGCTTCCCCATATCCCAAATAAGATGTCTGCACCCATTGAACGAGTGGAACGTGAATGGTAGCGCAGCGGTGAATTTGAGGCCAACTTTAGCGGCCAGCGGCAGGGCACCGAATGCCGCTACCAGCGATGCGGATTCCAGATGCCACCCCAGCAAAGGGGAGACGAGGTAGGCAGAGGCGAAGATATACATACCGCCAGCAAGGGCGACGCCGGTGATACGATTGAGGGAGGAGAGGAGCCAGGTGATCTGAGGTTGGTAGATGCTGAGATGCGGGGAGACGGGGCGGTTGAGACGCTGACGGGGGAGGATTGAGGTTGGGTCTTGGTTGGCGGTTGAAGCGGTTGATCTATGGTGGACGGAATTGTGTTAATTTGTTAAATTTGGTTTCCTTTTTCCGTTCGAATGGGTTTGCGATGTGGTTATATGTGTGTGTTGTTGTATTGGTCGATAGGCTTCACGACCAACTTACCTGGTCTGGATATGGTTGCCAGTCGCAATGGCCACGGGGGCAGCAATTCTAGAAACCGCAGTTCTTAACTGAGAAGGATTGTATGCAGCAACTATTTGCAGATGTTAGTTGATATCATCCCTTTGCTTCCTGCCGCCATCACTTTCCAATTCATCCCACACAGTTTGGATGGCAAGGGTTGGTTAACAGGTGACTTACGCCGTCGTAGCGACTGCTGGGCAACTCTTTGAGGAAGCATTGTAGTACAGTTAAATAGCTCAATGGCGTCCGCTGGCAGTCAATACCAATCAACAATCAACAACCAATATCAATTGTTGTAGCTAGCAAAAGCACTTGGAGATTCCATTTCCATTTCGGGATCCCAGGAAGACCTCGGCTTATGTAACCCGCCAGCAAATCACAGGCCGCCAATTAGTTACTAGTCGGAACAATGATTGTCCGCAGCCTCCTGGTTAACTAATCCCAACCTCAACTCTTTTTTCGCTTCTTCTCACTCTCTATTTACTCACTCGAGGACCCTCAGCTTACATCGTTTACCTGCCATTACCGCACTCTGTGTAGGTGGTGGAACGGCATGATACAGATGTTTCAAGGCGAACCATCCCACTTATAGTTGCGGCTTTCTGTCGTTAACTCCTGGATGCAGAAATGGGGCTTCCTCAGAAGAAGTCTTCGACCCGTCGTTAATCGCCCATTTCTTTCTGTCAATGGAAGGAGAGGGTTTCATATCAGGGTTACATACTGAACTTCGAGACGAGATGACTCTGGGTTTGATAAATGGGTAGAAAAGAACGGGGTGCGATTTGGTATTGCCACCTTGAAATCGGGTCGTGGGTGTGGATGTTAATTTCCTTGGGCGTTGGACAGGGACGGGAATGGGATGCTACCCCGTGCCCAGGTACTTTTCTCCTGCTGCCCGACATATCGGACATGTAGCGGAAGGGACTTGTATCTAGCGTCGAGAGCTATCCTCAACAAGTGTGAGGATAGATGACTCCAAGAAACGGGCCTGTGAAAAATCAAGAAAAACTTTGAGCATGAGGATAACTATGCACAAGCCCCACAAATGTATATATTCTAACTAATCGGCTCTGAAAGCCTAAAATCAGGTCAATCCTCCGTGATAGTACAGTCTGTACTCCGGATCATAATAATTGCGACTACTCCCTCCAGCCCTGTACAATCATCGTGCCCCACAACTCGCTCCGAAAACACGGACAGATATGTCCTGTACATATCTGCCACATCTTCCCATGGCACTTAAATTATGGACCTAATCCTACTCGCAACTATTGCCCCTGCAGCTCCAACGAGAAATCCAGCTCCGATATCTAGACCACCGCGCTGTCCTCACCATAAGTAATCAGCCAAATATAGTCCACGGCTGCTGGACTGTTAGTCTTCTTGTCCCAAACTTTGTAGCGTCCATCTAGCGAAAAGAAGCATTTCCAACCCAGTTTCCAAGAAATGGCAGCAAAGGCGAGTCACCTGACCTATCCTGAGCCTGGGACGATGGACCTCGGCTCTCGGCCCACTATCGCAAAGGTTTGTTCAGGTGGGCATTTTTTATGGCTGCCATGTCAGTGATCCCTTTATAAATCTCGTCGTGTCCTCCTCTGGTTATGATTCTTAGATCCTTCTCCTATGCTTCTTGTCTTCATTGTTCATAGAGTCCTGATAGAATAACCCTTCCGGACCCCTCCACTCTTTTTGCAAAATGGGATTCAGCACAGCGCTGACCCAGAAATTGGGTATCACGGGTAAGCTTATCTTCATTCGTCCCACGATCGGGGTTTATTAGAGGACGCAAACTTACCATGTCCTACCAGTCCCTGTCGTCCAGGGTGGAATGCAATGGGTTGGTTATGCTGAGCTTGCTGCGGCTGTCAGCAACGCTGGCGGTCTCGGAATCGTACGTGAATTCCCCCTTGTGGCAAAAATAAAAAACAATCCGCCTATTTTATGCCTAGAAAGCAAGAGTTAGAGACAATCTCAAGCAGCTTCCGCTAACATGCTTCTCTCCAACAGCTCACCGCGCTCACCCAACCCACCCCGGAGGACCTCCGCAAGGAAATCCGCAGATGCCGCATGATGACCAACAAACCCTTCGGCGTAAATATCACTCTACTCCCCGCCCTCGCTCCACCAGACTATGGTGCCTACGCCCAGGTGGTCATCGACGAAGGAATTCGCATCGTCGAGACCGCCGGCAACAGCCCTGGTCCTGTCATTAAGCAGCTCAAGAAGGCTGGCATCATCATCCTTCACAAATGCACCACGATCAGGCACGCCAAATCCGCTGTGAAGCTCGGTGTCGATTTCCTCTCTATCGACGGTTTCGAATGTGCTGGCCACATTGGCGAAACCGACATCACTAACTTCATCCTCCTCAGCCGAGCACGCCAGGATCTTAAGACGCCTTTCATTGCCTCGGGTGGATTCGCGGACGGATACGGCCTTGCTGCCGCCCTGGCTTTGGGTGCTGAGGGTATCAACATGGGCACAAGGTTTATGGCCACTATCGAAGCTCCAATTCATATGAAAGTGAAGCAGGCTATCGTAGACGCCAGCGAGGAAGATACCCAGCTAGTCATGCGTAGATGGAGAAACACCACCCGACTTTTCAAGAACCATGTTGCCATGGAGGCTTACAAGATTGAAAAGGAGGCTGAGTCGGATGACTTCTCACAGATCGGCCCCTATGTCAGTGGCAAGCGTGGGCGAGAAGTGTTTATCAACGGTGATATTCATTACGGTGTATGTATTTTCCCATGCTTTGCTGTTTACCCAACCTTCCGGAGGAGCGGGGCCCGAGATTTCTCCAGTTTCTCTCACTGGTGCTTAATATTGAAATACACTAACCCGCGTGCTTCTTTTTCTAATATAGGTCTGGACCGCCGGTCAGGTTATGGGCTTGATCCACGATATTCCATCCTGCAAAGAGTTGCTCACTCGCATCGAGAGGGAAGCCGTTGAGGTGATGTCGAAAACAAGCAAGCTCTACACGCCAACGGCGAAACTGTGATTCCACGGTTATTAGTCTTTTCTTCAACTTTTCGTTTGGTTCCCTTTTATGTTCTGGGTTGGTATGTTGACTTTGTTTATACATCGCTACTGATATATATACTTTTGGGGATGGGGGCCACTTAGGAGTCGACGGATAGAATACTCTATCATCGGGGTCTTATTACGGTTTTGTATACCACTTTTAGATATATATATATATACACATATTATTTCCTTGGCTTACCCAACCCTCTTTCTCTCTTTCCAAGGTTGTCCAGCTCGATTTTTTCTTTCTAAATAAGACAATGTCTGTTCACTCTATCAAACGGCCATGGCGTCTTGGTTTTAGAAATAGATATCAGAATATAAACGAAAGATAACAGCGTTTGGTAATTGCGCCATTCACTTAGGAATTGCACTATCCCATAGTTCACCTACATCCGGCACTACATGGACGGGAGGAACCTCCTCAATGGCAACCACTTCCAATTCCCCAAAGCACTTCAAGTCCTTTTCCCCCAACCGCTTTTTAAACCATACTATCTAGGTACTCGAATTCTAGCAATCGATATAAGACAGCTACGATGCACATATATCGTGTCACGCCTGGTAGGCCACCCACCCCTTACTTCAACGGACCCACGAGGACTGATCCGCGACAGAGAACAGCGTCCGAGACACGCCCCTGTCGAATATTTTCAAACCTCAAACACGAGAGGGATGTCAAAGGGGAATAAATGTCAACGAATCTTCTGCGCAGGGTAGGAAGGGGTAAATCCAAGGGGGTTATATCCTCGTACGATATGAACTATGCCTAGGCACGTATTAGCAATAACCCACTGACGGCTTGAACAGAAGCATACTGGCAGGTTGTTCATCGTCATTGACGCGATCCATAGTTCAGTTCGGCCCTATCCTGGCTTGGGGACCAGATACGTGGTTCGGTTCTCTCGCACTGTTGTTCCCTCCTTGCCTGGGAACTGCCTGCTGCCGGAGTTGACACGATGTGCGCAGTGCGAGAAGCGCTCTCATTGAAAGGGTCATTCCTAGCTCTTTCCGGGCCTCGCAAACCCAGGCTTGGAGGCAAGTAGAGATTATTTACCCTAACGGTGCGGATATATCTCGGGATATCAAACGATTTCAATAATACCTACCAGTTGGCTGCCACCTTACGACTGCTCTGGACGAAATTTCTACAGGCAGCTCCCGGTGAGTCAGAAAATACGATCTCCTCTGACTCTTTATGTCGTGTCTGTGCTGGCTGAATGCACCGGTTAATATGCTGCTGGCAAACGAATTTCGACGAGTCCACCCACTACGAACTAGGGGCACAGTTCCACGAGAATAAAAATATATCCCGACATCACATGCCACTGCGGGAAGACGAATGACTGTGGTCGTACCATATTCCTACATACAGTGTCCGTGTAACACGGGTACTGTAGACGGAGTTGCCGAACGTTTGCGTACCAACGTTCGCCTACCAGGCCTCTTTATAAACACCGGGATTCACGATTACTAACGACTTAGCGCGGTAGATATCTAGCTTGGGTACAATTCGTATCAGTTGGTGTTAACTACATGTACATGTACATGTACATGTACATGCGAGTGCTTCCGCCGGGGCAGAAGCCGTCCAGGCTTGCGAAACTGGTATACGCAGTTGCTTTGATGTTTCAAATGAAGCTAGGTATGTTTGTCTTCGAAGCAGGGTATAAAGCGTCCCTAATAATGAGAAATATTCTTTATATCGGGAAATGGTACGATATTCCAAGAGACACAATATGCGAGTCTACAGGAGACAATTGTCGGAAACGAAAACAAACGCGATTATCAGCGAACTTCAATCTTCTATCAAGAATTCAAGTCTACCTGCTAAATACACGGATAGACAAATATCTATCCCTTCATTCACAGCAAAAACATAATTGGCATCAGCAAAATACAGATCTTATTACCATATACTCCAAACCAACTTCATATACACAAGAGACGCTCAGAGACAAAAGAAGAGAAAGGCTTTCCGAACAAAAATGGTACATGCTATGTAAAGTATATATATTTTCGTTCAAAAATGGCGCGGCGTTGTCTCCTAATTTCAGTTTCCATGCGACATACAAAACATCCTCTACTTGCCTAGTGCTCGCAAGGAATTCCTCCTATAGGGGCCGGAATACAGGATGGGGTTGAGTTGAATGACCGGAAACGAGGAAGCGAAACTGCTTAGAGGCCGGCAATAGGAATGCAGGGAAGGTTCAAAGCAATGACACCCTCCTATCGATTCCGTTAGATATCTCTTTGTGAATCTATGATAGATTTCTAAACTTACGGCGTGCTGAGAGTTGCCCTGGCAGCAGGCAGTCTTCTGGGCGCAGGGTGAGCTGCTGAGGATGTCGGTAACACCGATAAGAGCTATATCGAAAATTTAGCCAAATTCTCTTCGCGAGTGTTACTTCGAAAAACTTACCGCTGGCGCTGAGCTTGGAGCATTGGTCGAAGATGCCAATCTCGCTGCCTTTGCCGAGGACCGTGCCCAAAACACCGGACAGGAGACCAGAGTTCTTGTCACCGCCGTTGACAGTGGTGACTTGCTTGTTGCAGCAAGAGATCTGAGCCTGTCCGCACTGGTTGGAGACCTGGTTGACTTCGACCTCACTACCCTCGGGGTGGTATCCACTGCCTGGGGCGGCAACGGCGACGGTGGCAAGAGCCAGGACAATAGCAGACATGGAGAACTTCATTTTGACGGTTTGAGGGTCGGAAGTATTAAAACCGGTATTAAGAATTATATATAAAAGGGTTTAAATGAGTGTGGTAGTTGGGCAAATATTTGAAGAAACGATGAAGATGCTGATGATGGGAGAAAGAAAAAGAGCCTGACGCTGCGGAGGAGGGCCCTTTTATAGATTCCATGACCCCCCTTTTTTGAGGACATGAACAGGATTGAACAACCCCCTGCCAACTCTTCCCTGGTCCTGGGGTGCCTGAATTGGAAGTACGATGCGAAGTTGGCTTCCAAGTAATTTTCCTGGTCCTCAGCAAACGATGTTTACCCCAGCCCTCAGATGGTAATCTCCCAAAAAAAAGTGAAGTCGCGGGCCTGCATACGCCACATCCCAATTGCCCGAAAATTTTCAATGATGATCTCATACGAAAGAATGCATGAAGTTTGGGCGACAATAATAATACAAGTTGTCACGCATCTGTACATTCGCTGTACAATCTCTTTTCTTTTGTTCTTGATACCCAGCCATTCGCAATGATGACAACTTGATGCTGGAACTTAGCAGAGGTCTGACCGGCTCCCCTGGAACGCGCCGGATCCGAGATACGGGAGAGAAGGAAAATCAACATTGGTTTCTTTTCAGAAACTATTGAAAATGACATTGCTTTGGGCAAAGAATATCTTGACATGCTGTCTGATCCCATGGTTCAGCATCCCTCACAAGTACGCCACAATATGCAGCTAGCAATGAGGCATATTCTCATTGAATCATTGAGTTCCGAGCTCGCACAAGAAAAACAATTACAAATATCGCTGTCCACATCGCAGATGTGCAAATAACGATAGCCCTGGAAAACCACGGAGCGTGCTGTGTTGAGTGAGATATTCGACCTATCAACCAGGGCTGGGCATCACTGAAGTTGAATACCTTGACCTTTCGCCAAAGCCTACTATTGGCGCGACCTCTACTCCGTAGTTATCATCCCTGTATGCGGCCTTCGGTACCAGTGTCCAGCAATCGGACCGAAGTGCCCCTGATAATCTTCTCTTTTTTTCGTTAGGTGGCTAGCGCAGTAATTCCTTGTCAGCATCATTCCCGTTCTCTCGAGTTCTGCTGCGACAATACATCTTTGTTTACTCCGTACTTTGTCTTTCCTTTTGAACTCACTTGGCTCATTAGTTTTTGAGCCACAATTGCTAACTGTCAAGGTGAAATGTGGTTCCACGAAGTAGTAACCGCCACTACGCTGGGATGATGGAACGAAAAACGGTGAGTGCAACTGCTAGATACAATTGGCGCTTACTGCTTGAGTTCATTTGTAACATTACAAGCCGTTAGTTACTGATATACGGAGTAACGCTTCTGGAAATGCCGTTCAGTCCACGGTTTCTTAGAGATTGTAAGCCGATCGACGGCTCTAAAAAGGCTACGAACCAGCAGGGCCGGCTTAAGCCATATGGAAAATGTGATAGCTCTTGCTATGCTTTGACCAACCCTGATCCTTTCGTGAGCCTCAAAACCATTGTGGGGCCATGTCCCAGCTCATTAATATTCCCAGCTCGTCCCTTTTTATTTCCGGATTCATGGGCGACAGACTAGAAACTACTAGTACTACTGAACTCAAGCGTGACGGAAACATCCTTGTTGTGTGTACTCCGTACATCTTAGAACCTGACAACAAGGGCCCTCAGGCTTTGCATTATTTTATCACAAGCCCTGTGGACCTAAACTGTGGAGGTGATGATGAATTGTTAATGCTCCGCGCTTGTGAAAATCTTTGTATAATAATATTATTACGATCGACGAATCCCCAGGCCAAAAATATATTCATTGGGAGTCTGATTTGGAAGCTGTAGGGATTCAAATTGGTGTCAAAAAGGATTCTTTGTTATCTGATATTATTAACCTCCATCAACGGAGCGTAGGAAGTGATGTCAATTAATCCCACCCAACGGGCCAACTCCAACAACAGCTTCATGCGCTATTATCTCCATGTGGAAGAATGAAAGGGTTTCGAGCGGCAAAGTCCGGAAAGTGTATCTGTACGACACTTCACACTCACTGCAATCTTCCATTCCTCGTTGCCAATCCGTAGGCGTCTGCTGCTACGTGGACAGAGTAATCCGTACAACATATTAAATGGCATGTGCTATGTATGCTCCAAGAATCAGTCAATCCACACGATGTGGGGAGCATAGAGTGCAGAGCCATCGCAAGGAAAACTAAAGCGAAATACTCTTCACAATCAATGACCTGACTGGCCAAAGCTTTTCGCGGTTTCTTTTGCACTTCTCTCCAAGAAAAAACTCGAGTCTGCTGGCACCCAAGCTTCTTCTCCTTGAGCCAAGCTAAAGACAGCTCAAAGGATGAAGAATCCTTGGCGACGCCACAAAGCCCGCTTTGTCGATCTCCTCCAGGGTTTTCTCAAGTACTAAAACTAGTACTCCGGACAGTACCCTTGGAATTCAGATAAGATCTGCAACGCACTAGCGGCTGGAAAACAAGGTGCGGCATGGCTGGCACGAAGCCAAATACATACGGGCCATACAAGCATCTTTTCTTTTTCAGCAAGTGTTATTTTTCAGCTCTGGCAGGTCCAGCTGCATGGTCACTTGGTGAATCTTTGTGATTGGATTGCTCCGAAGACTGCTTTGTGAGACTTGGCAAGACCTTCTGATTCAGTCCTGCTGTTTAAAGGCCCGAACCGTTTCAAGTACCCAAAAGCCCAGGTGCTGACCTCATTATTATTGATCGACATGCTGCCGGGGGCTGAATCGTCAAACTCTCACTGGGGGCCTGGGCGGAGCGTTCTCAGCCCACCAATAATAGGCCACTCATCCTCGCAAGCTCCATCCATACAAGCAGCCCCGGGATACTATTCTTGTGCCTAGATTCAGTCAGCATACAGAACTTGGCAGATACTCACATATCCCTCTCTTGTTGATGTTCTTGTGACGTGTGATACTCTTCTTATAAACTGAAATTCCAGGGCTTGGCTGCGTGGTTCGATCTCAA